AACAAGTTTCACACAAAAATCAGGGTGAACCCCCCCCTCCCCCCCCCCCCCCCTTAAAGATATTACGTTATTTGTAAATAAAACTGTAGTGATCCCTTTTACAGGCATGATCTTGTTATAAAAACATTTGCGGTTGTGTTAAACTGTTTTGCGACAGTGGCCTTGAGTCATACGAGCAACATTGCTGTGGAAACAGGAAATATAAAACAAGGAATTAGAGATAGCAGTAATGGGATTTGATAAGATCAAAGGAAAAAGGCCATGTTGCAGATCACGTCGTGACACACCTTTACTCTAGTAGTTAGTGCATATTTGAGTAAGCTACTAAAGTACTTGCAACTATATCTTAGTAGTTAGTATACAGATTACACACCTTCTGTAAATACGTTAGAATTTGAGAAAGCCTTGTAAACATCATAAGGGAGAAAGTACTTAGATGTGCAGTGAAATCAATTATTTAGTTAATTGAAGGGGATGAACATTAAATTTAAGAAAAATGTATTACAATTTTATGACTGATTATAATAAAATATAATAAAATAGCAATATTTGAACCTTGATACTCCTCTAAAAGGTTACTGCCCCAGCTAACATTATAATAACACGTGCAGCAACCTTTGCCCGAACTCCAGACACCTCAGAACAACATTTACTTTTTCACAGACAACGGAAACTTCAAATATCCGCTCATTTTATTTAGAGCTGTCTGCTGATGTGTACAACACACTACACGAATCACGTACCGTACAGACTACTGGCGTGAGACGAATCACGAACTGCATTTAACATTGCAACATAACGCTATGATATTAGCTGAGTGAATCACGTACTGCATTTAACATTGCAACATAACGCTATGATATTAGCTAACTGAATCACGTACTGCATTTAACATTGCAACATAACGCTATGATATTAGCGGAGACGAATCACGTACTGCATTTAACATTGCAACATAACGCTATGATATTAGCGGAGACGAATCACGTACTGCATTTAACATTGCAACATAACGCTATGATATTAGCTGAGTGAATCACGTACTGCATTTAACATTGCAACATAACGCTATGATATTAGCTGAGTGAATCACGAACTGCATTTAACATTGCAACATAACGCTATGATATTAGCTGAGTGAATCACGTACTGCATTTAACATTGCAACATAACGCTATGATATTAGCTGACTGAATCACGTACTGCATTTAACATTGCAACATAACGCTATGATATTAGCGGAGACGAATCACGTACTGCATTTAACATTGCAACATAACGCTATGATATTAGCTAACTGAATCACGTACTGCATTTAACATTGCAACATAACGCTATGATATTAGCTGACTGAATCACGTACTGCATTTAACATTGCAACATAACGCTATGATATTAGCGGAGACGAATCACGTACTGCATTTAACATTGCAACATAACGCTATGATATTAGCTGAGTGAATCACGTACTGCATTTAACATTGCAACATAACGCTATGATATTAGCTGAGTGAATCACGAACTGCATTTAACATTGCAACATAACGCTATGATATTAGCTAACTGAATCACGAACTGCATTTAACATTGCAACATAACGCTATGATATTAGCTGACTGAATCACGTACTGCATTTAACATTGCAACATAACGCTATGATATTAGCGGAGACGAATCACGTACTGCATTTAACATTGCAACATAACGCTATGATATTAGCTGAGTGTACGACTTAAGTTACAACTGTTATTTACACGGAATGTATTTAAGTATGTGTGATATTTGTGCTGGTAAGCTCTACATACTCACATATTTGTACTTATAAAGCACGTGGAAAATGGAAATATGTTACTAAATATGCGGGTAATAACAAGTACTTAATGTTACTTCTGATAATATCAGTATGTGGTAAACTGAATGTGACAACTTATTGTGCAACAATTTGCAGAATAACTGTTAGTTGGTAATTACTTTGAAGACGGAATACTAACAGTAAACACTATAATACATGAACTAAATACCATTATTGCAGGTCCCAACTGTTACTGTATGAGTGCAGCTAATTTTAGCTGACTTTTAAGTTTTAACTATAGTGACATTTTACAAGTTACCGAGACAAGACACTAGTATATGTTACAAGGTGTCAGGTGATATCATTATAACCACAATACTGTAGTATTTATTAACCGCTCATTTACTTAAGACAGATGACAGGTAACATATTTAACATATTCAACATATTTAACATAGTTACATAATATTTAAATGTTTCGTTAAATTAACAACTACTATATACTACTAACTATACGTAACTAAATAGCTACGTGTCACCCCCGCTTACTTCTTTACTTACAGACACAAAATCTCACTTTAATTATATCCTTTCATTTATCACAGGTTTCAACTTTTAAAAGATAAGATAAACTCAGCTTGCATTGCAGTAGAGTATAGTAGTCACTACTCACACTAGTAGTCACTAGTAGTCACTAGACACATAACGATACATTGTAAGTTATCGAAATAAAGAACATTGTGTGTACTTGGATTAATATCTTTATCTTGCTGCTACTGTGCTGGGAACCGGTCACTGCGGCGGAAGTCACTGCGGCGGTGGACGGTACAGCGGAGGACGGTACAGCGGAGGACGGTACGGCGGTAGTTTCCAAAAAGGTTGGACGGTACGGCGGATCACATGACACCCACTTTACTTTGGACAGTACGGCGGTACTACTACTACTAGAAACTGTACCTAAGACAGAACTTACACATTCAACTTGTTTCTAAGTTTTGTTCTAGATTCGCATTATAAGTTTTATTTTTTATTTTCTCTTTATCATTTTGTATAATTCTTGTTAGTTTAGTTGTTCATTTTTTATCTAGAGCAGTCTGGGACAGCGAGCCAGTAACGGAGCAGTAGATTCTGTGGTTCTGAGTAATCGTAGTCGCAGCCAGATCGTGGACTTGGGAGAGGGTTTCTCGGACATCGCAGTCAGCTATGTCGGCACTGTGGTTGTGAGGCTGGGTGACTGACACCAGGGATCCGTTGAGGGTGTAGAGTCGTCCCTTGCATCTGTCGTTCTTCTTCACGCACCTCCAAGCCTGTCGTCCATCCAGAGTCGGCTTTTCATGTCTTTGGAGTAGAAGGTTCTGATCGTTGTAGCTGTTGTACTCAAGTTGTAGTGTTGCAGTACTGGAGATGGTAGTGCTAATGAGATACTCTCCTCAACTTTGATCCGCTTTATATACTGTTTGCCTCTATCATTATCTACGTTTCACTGAGCAACCTCTCTTCTTGGCTACGGTTGATCAGATTCCTGGATGCGATCCCTCGTGACGTGTTCTCATGCCCTTGTTATTACCCATTGCATCTCGGCGCAGTGATATGAGATCTCACCATAACCAGAAAGTGGAACAAGAACTGTTCTTAGCAATGACATTGTATATGTTAAACTTTATCCAATTTAATTTTAATTAAAATTAATTTCGAAGTAACGAAGATGAAAATATAACTTTTTAAAGCTAATCGATTTTGTTATATTAGCAGTGCTAGGTCTATCTTATAGGTACAGTTTTTAGTGCCGCCGTACTGTCCAAAGTAAAGTGGGTGTCATGTGATCCGCCGTACCGTCCAACCTTTTTGGAAAGTACCGCCGTACCGTCCTCCGCTGTACCGTCCTCCGCCGGACTGTACACCGCCGCAGTGACTTCCGCCGCAGTGTCCTATACCCACTGTGCTATACTAATATAATGTCTTTATGAAGGAGCAAGATATTTGCAGTGTTATTTATTTCAGTACACTTCAAATATCTTGCTCCTTCATACAGCTACCACATTCCAACAACACTAGTCTATTATCACTACAATAAACTACTGCACTACAACTGATCACATATCAGCGGATAATAGATATGAAGTGACATGATATGGGCTACTGATAAAGTACACTGTCACTATATTATCATATATTCAGTTTAAATGTTATCAAATATAATGTAATGATGAACTATAGTATTATGATGTAATGAAGTTAAGGTTTATACTATGAGCGGTATGACGTAGGTGATTTGTTGTTACTATTAGCGGTATGACGCAGGTGATTTGTTGTTACTATTAGTGGTATGACGCAGGTGATTTGTTGTTACTATTAGCGGTATGACGCAGGTGATTTGTTGTTACTATTAGCGGTATGACGCAGGTGATTTGTTGTTACGGCAACTCTCTGTATTGTAATGAGCCCATTCCTGCAGGAATCCAAATATCAGTTAGACTCACGACTCACACCTGCTGTAGGATCAGGTGATTTAGTTTAGGTAGGTACACTAGATTCTATAATGTATTTTTAACCTGGTTTCAGTCCAATAGTCTGAAGTTGAAACAGCACTGTGAGTAGCTCATATTAATTATATTACAATTCCTTCAATACACTGGTATTCCTGTATTGTTGAATATTGAGCTGCTAATCAATAAACATTGCTCAACCAGATGCGGTCATTGTTCGTTTAAATAATACTCAGTTTTATGAAATGACACAGTATCTGTTTTAAGAAGGTGAGCAGATGGGATAATTGTGTAAAATTTACTGATCTGAGTTACTTGTTTGAAGTTTAACATGGTTTGTAATTTAATACCCTCTTATTTTGCAGGCACTAAAAATACGAATTACGGGGCACTGTGTTTGGCACCTATCATCAGAGGTGAACATACCTCCAAAATACAGAGATAACTTTAATTATACGTTATTATAAGATTTCATATTCATTACATTGATATTATGTGAAGTTAATCATTATAACACTTATATAATGTGATCAGGTAATCTCTATTTTCTATAATCCAATAATTTGAACTTCCCCCGTAATTTACCTCTACATTGAGATGTATTGTCATTGGAACCGGCGTGGGGGTTAATAAACCTCAAGTTAGAGGACTGTGTAATAGACAAATAGAACACACAAAAACATGGTGTCAGTAATTAACAGCAATAAAACCTGTTAGTTTACCTCGGGAGAAAATTCAAGATCCAGAGGAAGCGGAGTTTCTTTTCTTCTTTGGTCTTTCTTTGGGAATGTGAACTTTAGCAAACTTTATCCGCAGGGCCATCAATTTACCTGGAAATATTATATTTAGTTATTATCAGTTTTTCTCTGGATCTCTTCTGGCCATGAAATTGTGCTATATTAGTTATCACTTTTTTAAGGCAGAACATTACTAAAACTTACCTTCAATTGTTTGTTTCTGCCTCGGACACACTTCCCTTATCATTAAGGGTAAGTTTCTGACCAGAAAAGGTTTGCGGAAATGTTCCGATTCTGTCAACGGGTTCCTTGGCACAGCTTTCCCTTGCAATATCGACATAAACACTGGGCAATTTAAAGGTTAGTAATACTTTACATATTTAAGTAATACAATACAATATATCCAATATGATATATTTTAAACATAAAGAAATCTCCCCGGTGACAGCTTAAAACATGCAAAAAAATAGCAGCGGGTTTCCAAAGAACATTGTACATAAAGGTTTCATTAAACATGGTAGTGTACCCCAAATATAAATATAATTCGGACACTAGTTGCATCAATAGTAAACAATTTTAAAATTAGTATCATTACAAAAATTTGTAACAAAAGTATAATTCACTATCAATACATGTATTAAGAGACTGGAGACTGCTACCTATTGCGAAGACTATTCCATAAATCAAATAATTGTTAATGATAATTGATGTGTCTATTCTTTATAAATGGCCATTGCAATATTGTTGAAAGACAAAATCGAGCAGTTCTTACACAATTTCTGATACTCCACTAGCTAAATTAAGATCAGTATTTCAGTATTATGTGATTGGAATTTCGTGTTTTTTACCCTAGATAAATTGTACATCTTGTAAAATATATTCGATTTTGAAGAGAAATCTAATTAGATGCCACACATGCCAAACACTACGAGGGAAACTATCATGATATAGCATCAGTGATATCTTTAAAGGAAAACAAATTTTTTTTTGGAAAACAAATTTAAATTTTGGTAATCATTAGTAACAATCAAAACATATCATATCATAAAAATAAAGCCGCGCGTTGGTTGACTGCCTCAGTAAGGTGAATAATATAAGCTCGAAGGTGCCCTGCGCATTTACAGAACCTCATGCGGCGATCACATGATCATGAGGACCTGTGAGCGCCAAATTTAATTTAAAGTTTCTAGAAATCATACATCACTACGAGTTACTCATGCTTTTTAAAATTTTTATAGGAGTGTAGATTGTCAGGTATTTCATTCATTCATATAGTCGGTTTAAAGCTGTATATTTAGAACTCACTATTGTTTAAACTATGAAAGCAGAACGTAGGTAATGGACAATTAAATCGACCTCGACATTGTACTGCATTGCATCAACAAAGAGATAATCTTAGCTACAAATAAACGAGATAGAACAGGCTACTCAAATCCCGATCACATCGACAATACATACCATTTCAACAACTAAGAACTTACTGAAATAATTATTTGAATTTTTGATAGAAATATTTTTAGATCATGAATACGATGTTGTGACATTGAAACGTTGAGTAATTCCTTTCCTGATAAAAGCATTTTTCCTTGTCGTATCAAACGGGATCAATACAAATTTACACAAGAATACATTGAAACAATAAGGCATACAAAAGAGTTCCAATTCGACCACCTTTACACACAGAAGGTAGCCCGGATAATCAGAAAAAAAATACACATAATATAACAATGACCCTATATAAAATCTACCCTTTAAGAATTAAAAAAGTTTCCTAAACAATCAAAAATATTCGACCAAACGTTGACATGGAATACAGTGTTAATCCAACAGTACCAGAACGAAAATTTGATAAATAGCGCTCGATTCGAACTGGAAGGATAGATTATGGATATGCGCGGCGTGATCTTATTTCTTCCACAGATAAAATATGATATAAAAGTTCTAAGTAGTTTCATTTATGCAATACACTTTCATCTTCCAATACACTTTCCATAGATGAACTGCAAAATTCGTAACCTTTAGACAGGGCCAGGGACAGCCCAAGAAATGAATAAAGCGCTCCCACTAAATTGATCGCCCAAAGTTTAACAAAATTCTGATTTTGTGAAAGATAGGTGTAAGTATGAAAGCAGTCTGATTTGGTGTATTTTGCATGCTGATTCCAAATCACCATCCCCCGGCCTCAAGCAATCATAATTTCCTAAAAATCCTATTTGCTATTGAAAAAAAAACAAAAAACAATGAGGGTTACACAGTTAAACCTTTTTTACACTGAAGACTTACCTGGGGACCTTATGTTAGGTAGGGGTAGAGTGAATTGAGGGTGAACTGGTTTGCAATATCTCAGGTTTGCAATATCTCAGGTTTGAAATATCTAACGGCCTGTATTATAATTATAGTAATTTATAGAATAGTTTTACTAAAAGACTGGTAGTCGGTCTAGACTGGTAGTCAGATTAGTTTTGAAGTCTTTATCGGTAGGGTTGCAATGTCCCACGGCGTGAAGCTGTAGTTAGTATTTTAAGCCGTTGTAAATTAGTAGTTATTTGGAATTGTGACGTTCCCGGTGGGAAAAGTAGTGGCTTGAAGATTGTTAAAGTTTCAAATTTATTAGAACTTATAGTTAAAAGAATACTTACAATTATTTTAACAGCATTGATTTTTGATTATTGTGTTGACGAACTAGCCGAGGTGTTACAAGAGTGCCATGAGAATCAACTCCCCCTTCAACTCCCCAAAGACCTGTCAACCAGCAGTCTACAAAAAGGGGAGCTCGCCTGCTGCTCGCCGCCTTCCGCCTTTAGCCTTTCTGCCTTTTCCCTTATCTCCGGCCCGGGGTCATGTTCTGCTGTGCCCGGTCTCTCTCCACTCGTTACTAATTTTCATTATAGGTTTGTAGTTTTAAAGTTAAGTTTTTGGTCATATTGTTATCGTTGCTTCAAATCGTATCAAAATGTTGATGTTAAGATTAGTTCATACTTAGGTTAAGTTCTGTTGCAAAATGCATAATATGCGGTTAAGATATTTATACATAATACCTCACCAGATTGTCTCGCCGCTACTACTTGTTCCCGATTGATCTTTCCAGCAACTAGGCTAAGCTATGGAGATCTATTCCCGAGGTATTGTTTTTATATTAAATATTAATTAAATGTTCATAAAAATAGTATTTTCCACTTGTTTAATGTTGATACACGTTTTGAAGATAAAATTAGATTCATTTATTGTCCGCTAATTATTTGGTTCCTAATAGTTTATTAATTCCTAGGTGATATTACGGTGATACCCATCCCACCTGCTCTGTTTGTCCTTACCTAAGTTCCACCCGTAGTATTGCATCACCGTTCCTAACCGTTGTAAGACTAAGTCTATGAGTATGATATGAGAGAATGGAGCCTAATCACGAGAGAGAGACAACTGGCACTGCAACCTCGTGAAACATCATCCAATCGACCGATCGTCCTTACTAATTGCTTTCCACCTCACCACATTCGCTACCTCTTCAATTATTGGGGTAAATGGACATTAAGATTAAGTTATGAGATTGGGAAGAGGGATGAGCTCCTTATAATCCCAGTCTCTAACAGGGGGAGGCGGATCCACGAGGATCCGGGGACACGTTAAACAACTATATAGTGCTGGAGAGTAACTGAAGGCTCCCGTGTCTAACGAAGTGTGAATTAACACACTGCCTTGGTACCCTCTAGTCGGCCGTGTTTTCGGGCTACCTGGTGTTCAGTACCTGGAGCTTGTCACCCCCAGGACTGGACATACGTCCCCAGGCAAGTGGAACACGGTGGTACGTGGACGACAGTCCACACCTAGCTAGTATCTTATCTTTTTGAACCCCACAAAGGTGGAAAATTACCCAGAAAGGGAGTAAATAAAAATTTGGAAGATAAGATCTAGTGAACAGGCAAGGCAAGAGAAAACGGTCAAAGTTCATAGTTGTGACAGCTAAGTCCTCTATGGATAAGACCGTCGGTGGAACCTAGGAGTGCCAATCCCACTTACTGGTCATCCATCGCTACAGACTGGGTCCCTTGCCGGTAGGTTCACATATGCGTAACATCCTTTTATGTAAAAGGTTGCGTGATCTGCTCAATGTACAGTCGGGCCTACATAAGCTAAAAGCGACTTGGTCTTTATGATCGTCCAGTTAGTAAGCGAATGTAGCTGTTGTGATCGAGGGGATTAAAAAGTGAACCTCGGGAAGCAATGGGCAGTTCTTTAAACTGCGGGAATGGGGTCAGCTCAGACTGCGCCTGGTTACACATAATGATTAAGTAAGAATAAGTAAGTAAGTAAGGGTGCATAAAATGAAAGTTATGATTGAATAGAAGCAGTTGAAATGTAACAGGAGGTCGAAGACCAGAAGTGATGAGAGTTAAATTGATATTGTAGTCCTATTTAACCCAATTATTTTACAACCCTTTATTAACTTGTTTTAATTGGTTATCTTCCAGATATAAATTCACATTAAATTCTGAAGTCCATAATTACAATAAAAATTACTGTCCTAAAATTGTATCTGTACAAAGAGAGTTTGGGTTTGAACTGTGCCCTGAGTGTGTCTCAAACCGGGAGGTATTCCATAATATCGGAACCTGAATTTCCATACTCTAGTTAAAAGGAGCCCATTATACGTAGTTAAATTAATGTCATCTAAATTTAATGAAATATAATAAATAAATAATCTCTAGAAGTCATGGAAAATTGAAGCATTAAATAGGGCGTTAAGTAAGTTGTCGTGCTGAAACCCGAGTACGCCTCTTAACACCTTAGGCTATCATGTTCATCAATAGAGATTAGGCGGAACGACAGGCTGAGCGCGGTCCAGTAAGCTGATCAAAAGTACGCATTTTATTGATCTAACGAAGGTGGTTCTGGGTTCGTGGTTGCGAGAAGCATTATTGGATGCGCGGCGCGCGCGCGGCCCAGTAACACATCGCGCTATAAAAATTACACTTTACAGCTAGTCGGCGCGGCCCACTGGCTTAGTTGCTAGTGCAGTGATCATGATGCATTTCGCCGATCTAATAAAGGTGTGGTTGAGACCCAATGGTGTATATCGTGTTATATTGCAATTGTATTACGTCGTGACCCCCATTGTCGTTTCAATTTCGCTATTATAGTGTAGAGTTTCTATTAACAGGTGGTACTCGTAAAATATTTGTTTAAAACTCGGCGCGAGCCCAACTCGGCGCGCGTCCTGGTAAGTTATAAACCTACAAAGTTTTTACGATACAGGGGGAGCCGCGCACTCGTGCGCGGCTGATCGTACATACAACGTACGACAAATTTTATGCACGCCACTCGTAGTGATTTATTATTTTTAAAAACTTTAAATTAAAGTTGGCGCTGACAGGTCCTGGCCTCGTTATCATTTGTATCACGTGGTGACCCCCACGGTCGCTTCACTATACAGGGGGAGCCGCGCACTTCGTGCGCGGCGGGTCATACAACGTATGACAAGTTATCATGTGATCGTCGCATGAGGTTCTGTAAATGTGCAGGGCACCTTCAAGCTTAAATTATTCACCTTACTGAGGCAGTCAACCAACGCGTGGCTTTATATTTATGACCATATGATATGTTTTGATTGTTATTAATAAATACAAAAATTTAAATTTGTCTTTTAAAAAAATACATTTGATTAACGATGTTAACCCTTTGGGCCTTCCAAATCGTCGCTTTGCGAATTAACAGAGCAACGCATTTTACTTCGATTTTATTTTTATATGACTAAAGGGTATGACTAGCATGCTAGATAAAAGCTAAATATAAGTTTGTTTGAACGACTAACGAATTTTAATGTTATTGTTTTTGTTAAAACATGTTTATTCAAAAATGTTCTTTGGCTGTTTAAGTTACTTCTTTTATTTGAATATTTCCATGTAAATTTGTGTAATAAATCATAAACTAGTAAGTTTATGTTACAAGGTCAAGGAAAACAAAATTAGCGCAAAAACTTTTCCTTCTTGAGCAAGGTAATCTTTCTTTCTTAATCCATTTTTCAATTGGTGATATTATTATTATTATAAAATAGGATCTTACCGACAAAAATGATTCTTAAAAATACCTTAATGCGGTAAACTGTACCCTTGAAAAAGATTTTCCCAGCATCTGTTTCATGCAGCTATATCTCTAATTTCGTTCAATTCATGCAAGTTGTCCATTTGCAAATTTCTACAACTTAAATCACTTCTTAAAACCGATAACACGTTCATTCTCCCCAATCTTCCAATGAATAAATTATCTGATTCAATAGCAAAAGAGAGAGCCGTTTGGGCTGGGGTGTTCTCCATACTCCTGAGAATGTGTCCAAACATCTTCCACCGCTGGTGTTCAATACGCTTGGATAACTTTTCAACTTTGCACCTTTCATACAATGCTTTGTTGCTTATCATACCTTTAGGCCATTTGATGTTTAAAATGGACCTGAGGTGTCTACGATGGAGTGTGTCCATTTTCTCCATGGTTGCTTTCTTAGGACTCCAACTATTTGAGTTGTAAATCAATACAGATACAACTTGAGCATCATATAACATCAGCTTTCTTTCAAGGGAGATTTAAAGTCGGAAAATCAAAGTATGTAGCGTCGATACCAAACCAATTATTGAGCGATGATAGTTAAATAGTTGGTCCCTGGGATACAGAGTCCTCCTGATTCCTCAGTCTTTGATTGTGGTTTTTGTTCTTTTTCAGTTTTGTGAGCTTGGTGTCATTTGAACACGAAATAAATGCCCTTCGTAACCTTTATTCCTCTGAATTAAAAACGACATAGCCGTAGGTGTAAAGTATATAAATTTGTTAGAAATTGTCTGTTAGCAATCGTAGTTTTTGATCTCTAAGATTTATTGTTAATAAAATGCTCATTGTAGCCAGTTATTTTAAGATTTTCATCATCATAATGACAATTTTGGAACATTTCCAAATCTCTCTAATCTCGTAACAATTTAACAACATCAATGTATAGTATAATCTAGTGTACATATGTGTATGTACATTTCTAACATAGCATCTGCTAGGGATACAGAACTCTGGCGGTGAAACTACTTGATTAAAATCTTGATCCGTTTACTGATCTGGTTGAGATGTCATGAAAGTTGACACTGGGCGAGGCCCACACAGACAATGCTCATCCCTCCCCCACAGGGATGTGCTCGAAGTCTATGTTCTACTTAGATCTTCATGCTGCAACTGGGAATATGAAGCTCAATGAAACAATAAAAGCTGCTGTGCTAGCTTTGACAAAGTAACTAAGATAGCAGAGGCTTTTTCGAAGGGTCCGTTTATTTGCAACCAAGGACAATGCGCCAGGCAATATATTGAACAGTAGTGCTGGATAATTATCAAAAGAATAACATGAACAACATGTTACATGAAGCTATATTGTGTTTTATCTCAGGGATCCTACCAAAATTAGTGAGTCTCCAATCAAGAATGAAATGGATACGAAGGATTTACATCCAATGAAAAGTTGTCTTTCTGTTCTATCATGAATTCTATACATAATAAAGTGTAGTTATCATACTTCATGATAGAGCAACAAACGTACACTATGAGCCTAACAGGCAAAAACTTTCCCAGTGATTGTACTAATGTACCACTGCTCATCCAATAGTTAATTTCATAACTTAGATAAAGGGAAAACAGGTCAGAGAAGGCACAGGGTAGGCCAAAGAAGGAATGGGGCTAAAGGTGGCTGATGGTGAGGGTAAATAATTGAGTAGTACTGTCAAGGATACACTCACCCATCTCAGTTGAACCTTTGCTCAACAGAATCTGAAATATATCTGATATATCCTAGTCCAAAAGTGAACGGAAAATTGTTTGATTGTGACGTTCAGTCTTCATTACAAATCGATTAGTCATTAATATATTCCCCATTATATATATTATATGGCTCAATATGGCTTTGTGGATAATCTATAAAAGTATAATCAGATTCATCATTACATGAACTGTTCGTGCAGACCAACCTACCTGTGGCTAAAGCTCTAATATACAAAAACAATACACTATTCATAAATATTGAATAGTAACGAATCTAGATGAGTAGATAATTGATGAATGATCAGAAAACATTCAACATAATATTATACTATATTAATCATAGAATTCTCTTCAACTAGTGGTTACAATGTACAAGTTTGACCTACCTCTTGATACGAGAGAGGCAAATGCCATTGCCAGGAGGAGGAACTGTGAAGAGCAGAGAAAATCCAGAATATTTGATGCTCAAACTCGACAAATAGGTTTGTTTAAAAGCTCTAGGTCTTTTTACAATCCATAATAGAACGATAAATATCACCAAAATTCAATTTTTTAAACCTTAAATTTAAAATTTTTTGTCAAAATTGAGAAAAAGAAAAATAGCAAATGAAAATAATGATCCGCCATTTTGCTTCTTCTAGATTTGTTTGGATGATCTCATGGGTTCTAGATTCATTTCAATTACAAGATTTTATCAGGAGTTGACACAGCTGGTCTTTCTACTCAAATTGAAGAGAAGCGCCTCCGAAATCAGATAGAAAATGAGCGCAAGAAGGCATACGACGCAGAAATGGTAAAGAATTCTCAGATTTGCACTCTGCTGGACACGCGCCAGCAAAACGACACAATGAGACAAAATGTCGAGCTCAATAAATTTAGGTTTGTTGAGCATTATGTTTTTATGGGAGAAGATACAGTAACATTTCGATTTATAGAAAAAGAAATAGATCCGGTGATGTAGATGTGGGAGCAACTGCTACCGTGATTCAAGTAATCATGCTCAAATTAAAATGTAAACACTTGCACTGTTTATAATATGTCTTCAGGTCAGAACAACAGACAGCCGCCAGTCGACGTGAGTTTGACCTTTATGACCCAGAGAGCAAGAAGAAAGACCAGCCTGCCCGAGTTTCTGACGACGACCCCAGGTGCCAAGTCTCTGGGCTCCAGCTATTCCAAGGTTAGTGCCAAGTCTCTGGGCTCCAGCTATTCCAAGGTTAGTGTTAGTTCAGATTACAGATCTTTATCTACATATTTTGCATAAATTACGCAAAATATCACTGCTAAAGTTTAGTGATGGATTTGAAAATATTTGAAGATGCAAAATTGAATATAATGGATGAGTGGATGGTTTCGTTGGCTGATGAATTATCGCCATATTTACAATTCGACAACAAACACTTCACCTTACTTCAACTTGAACTAGTAATCTCAAAGATGGTTTATTTTGTCAGTGATGTATCGATGGTCACCGTTAGTTAATAGATATTTGATGATGTTTGACATTACTTACCATATAATATGTATATGAGTTTAAATTCCCAAATAGTCAGACTGAGCAGGTTGAGCTGTAGTAAAACACATATGTATATGGTTAAGTATTGTATGCATATATTATGGCAATGTTTGTCACTCTGCAAGTTCCTATTTGTGAAGATAAAAGCATTAAAAAAATCAATTTCAGGCGAAGATTTGTCAGCCAAGGAACGAAAGAAGCTTCAGCAAGAGCAGATGAGAGAATGGATAAAACAACAACTGTCAGAGAAAAATAGAGAAAAGGAGGCCTCTATGCATGCTGAAACGTGAGTCTGCTCACCTTTTCAACGAAGAGAACATTTCATGAATAACCATGTTTGTATCAGGTCTGAGGGCGTATCCGGTTTCTAGCTTTCGTCCATTTTGAAACAAACCCTATATTTAGACTGTACCAGAGGAAGATGATGCAGTTGGATCAACGTGCAGTACTGCTGGCAAAAGAAGAGGACGAGTGCAGGAGGAATCTGAACGTAGCAACAAAGAGTTACAATGCAGCTCTGGATGCTGAGAGGAAGGCTAAGGAAGCTATTGATAAGCAGAAAGAACTTGATGATAACTTCACTGAGCTGTCTAACCAGGTACTTATTGATTTTACTACGTACTATTATAACAATAACGATTGTAACTATAATTAATAATAATTAATAATACCGGGGGGGGGGGGGGGGGGCCAAAAGTCAGTACCCATACGTTGGGTCTCATACCACTGCCGTGTTTTATATTTGAGAGTTGTTGCTTTGCAGATGGCATACTGTACCTACTTGTTCGAGGATTCCGTCACCAAAATTTGAAAATTCGATTTTTGGGAGCCACACCTGCACCCTATGAACATTGAATTGCTTAAACGAGGTGTTTGTGAACATGTTGGAGACTCCGTTGTAACATATCGCAATAGATGGTGCGAAACGGATTTAAAATGACGAAGTTATCAAGCAATTTGTTTATCTCGTTAGCAAAATTGATTGGGTACTCAATGATTTCCCAATTACGACACTGTAATTGAGCTCTCTGCGGATCTAGCCTCAACCTAATCATCACGCAATGAACAAATCGTTATGCTTCATATCTCGGTCATCTGAGAAGCTAGAACTCTCATTTTTTCAGGACAAACGTAATTTAAATGACCAAACGTAACACCATTCATCAATATTTGGCTCGATCCGAAAATGAACCTTCATTTGAAAAAAATGAACACGAATATTTTTCGATTTGAAAAATTCCTCGGTGATAGTAAGTCATACCAGAAAGAGTTATTTCAATTGGGCACTCAGTGACTGAGTTATTAAGGCCAACGTATTGGTACTGACTTTTGCCACCCCCCCCCCCCCCCCCCCCGGCCCCCGTACTTTGATAGGACTAAATCGGATTGTGATAGCATATGTTATTAAAATATCTCAATTTATGCGATTATGAACCAGATAATTGTGATTTGGTTCTAGAGCCAAAAGCGAACTATAATGAAATGTTTTTTATTAGGTTTACGGAGACACGTTGACAGAGAATCCAGGAGTAGCTCAGAGCAGCTTTGGGGGCCACCGAGTTATTACTGATCGATGGAAGGGTATGAGTGATGAACAGAAGGTTGAAATCATGAGGATAAGAGAAGAACAGGTAATTATTATTTACGATCTCTTTAGTTGAGAAATGAGGAGTTATCCTGAAAGTTGGGTCACTTGTCGTATTGGCAATTTCACGACATTTGTTTCCCAATTAGACTTAGCGCGGAGCGCAATAAATATTTTGTACATTAAGCCGCGCGCTTTATTGATTCCCTTTGGTAACCATGGCAACACTGCAGCAAGCCGAGAAACAGCGCAAGACTGAGGAAGAAAAGGAGCTCCAAAAAGAGTATGAAAGGAGCCAGCTCCTGCAGGCAAACGCTGCAATCCTCATGGAACGAGAGATGAACAGGAAAGCTGCTGAAATTGAGAAGAAAATTGCTGAAGAGAACATGAGACTGCAGAAAGAACAGAAAGATACTCTGACTAAATTGGCGAAGGAAGTTTACACCAACCCTCCAACTGATGCCTACTTCACACAGTTCAATACTGGCACGAGATAAGACGACTCACAATTTTGGAGACTTTATAGATTAGAGTTATTATTTATCTGTGTGCATTGTGGACAGATCTGAGATCATACTTAATGGTTAACTTAGATACAATCTGATTAAATTCAGACAACCAATATCAGGTTAAGTAATCTTTTAAAAGTGATAAAAATACTATACAATTGTAAATCATTAAACTTCCGAATATATTCTCTAAAGCTTTTTTGTGCTTAGTGTAAATAATTTCTGGTCCATTTTACCAAGTTTTGTCATTTACCCAGCTGCCGAAAGGATTTTTATAACGCAAAGTATGTACAGTATGCAGTGCTATGTTGTGATATATAATTCATGTGAACATCTGTTGCAATTGTTCCACAAAAGTTAAAATCCCAAAACAGAAACCGACTAAGATGAGAGTTCAATCTATTTAAATTTTTGAAATTTAGAAGACGTCAATTTGATAAAATCAAGTTCCTGTAATATTCTCAGGAAGAGTTTGAGTCAGTGTGTTCCGTTCTGTTTCATACTTTGATTCGGTGATCTTGTCTCCTCGCTGAGTTGTAATGGGATTTCGGGCTCTTCAGTCCCAGCTTGGACATTATCGCTGAAAACAAATATTGAAATAAAACAATTATCTTTATAAACTGAACTTCCAATCTGAATCACCACATTGCATTTCTCAGAAATTAAAAAAGGGTTTGTTAACCTTCAGTTTTACACTGACTTTTAATTTTGGGACCATTAATCCACTCGGACCAGCTCGCTGACTTGGCTTGGAATTTCTTCTCTCCAGTTTCTTCATGCTCCCGATTGGTGCGATTATAAGTCCGGTCGTTTCCATTAACGTTTCTGTCAGTCCATTTTGTCTGTCGTTATGTATCATGTCAAGTTTTTGGTCAGAAAAGATTTGTTTTGTCAATTTTCTTCAAGATTAGGAAGCGTTCAGACTACCTCACCCCGATTTAATACTGCCCTCTTTCCTTGAATCTGTTATTTCAACTCCACTCATCTTCTGAATGTCCCAATTTCTGCTTAGTTTCTTAACCCCTCTCCCGAAATATTATGTATCACCTCCCTAATACAGTGAGGGGTTGGCGTTCTGAATAAATTACCGAATTCATGTCAGTTGCAGGGTACACTTTGGTTAATCACGACACTTTAAACACTTTAATCACATTGCGGGTAAATCTGGTCGCCATTATCGTACCACATATAATAGGCCTGCAAAGCCTCCCCTGCCATAGCCTTCCCTGCCATAGCCTCCCCTGCCATAGCCTCCCCTGTCATAGCCTCCCCTGCATAGTTTCCCCCGCCGTTCAAGGACGCGAACACTCCCTAATTCTAAAGAATTCATGTCCAGAATTTATCATCGTCCTACGTGAAAAGTGAATTTGTGCTTCTCATTCACAAAAAGGCTTTATGATTAGATGTGTTGGGAATTACATGTCTCTTTTGACAGTAGGACTTCTACGTCCGATGGTTAGGTCCCCGACTGTTGCTATAAGTGTGCCAATGTTACTTTTACGCCGGGTTTTAGTTTTGCTATTTCTTTGTTTCAAGAAATCTTCTAACTCCTTATCCTGCTCATCCATAAACTTGTCCAGGATCTTTTTGTTCATCACGCCTAGTTACGAGGCCTAGTTACGCCTAGTTACGAGGCCTAGTTACGCCTAGTATACACATTCGTGGTGGTACATATAGCTTGCAGTTTTCATCACCAAGCACCAATTTGAATATTCAAGAGAATGTAACTGAAGTCTGACATATTGAGTAATTATCACATTTACTTTTTGCAAATGTGTCATTTCCTGAAATTAAAGCACGACGAACTGATACTGTCTAACAATAACTAGATATTATTGAACATACCTGGTGTATTGCGGAGGAAGGAATCATTGACCCGTTTAGAGGCTTGTAGAGGTCTACTCGCTCTCCAATATTTCTCCAGGTAATTTATCAGGTGCTCGGCCGCGTCATCAAAATCATGCTCGTTCAGAACAACATCAAATTGTCTCTAAAGAAATAACTGTCAAATTATAAGTAGTACTGCTAATAGACACTTTAAATCTTACACAGAATGTTTAGAGGGTGAAAGCTAAGATAAAACTAGCGGGAGGTCCAATTTAGAGAATTAAGGCACATGTATTATACAGCTCGAGGCTTACACAGTGATTAGTGATGTATAAGATTTGAAGGACTGATTATGATAATATCTCTGATCCTATGCAACCCTCTGAGGCCTACTTACCCTGTCCAGGTCGCAGAGTTTAGTTGCAGCGTATAACTGAGCTGTCAGCCCTCTCTTTTGGTCTGCCCCACGCTGCTTAATCAGATTCGTCAATACCTGTGGAAATTAAGTGGTGGAAATTTAAGAAAATTCGCTAGGTTGTTACACTTTAAATCTGTGAACATAATCTGTAATATTTAAACAGCGAACTACTCCACATATCACATAATATATATATATATACACACATATAATCTGTGTCATTCTAGAATATCTGTCAGAGAATAATCCTGCTCCCAATAAATGTATTAAATTGGCATAATTGAACGCTGACCTTTGAGTTAGATATCTTGATATGAACGAGTATAGGACCCATAGCACTGTTCTTCAAAGGGACCGGACTGTTGATCTTCAGATCCACAAACATGAGTTTAAACTTCTTCGCCTCCTCGTAGATGTTATTCGTTATTTCATCTAGACCCTCAGGGTTGATGCTGTACTTGTTTGAAGCTATTGAGGAGTGAAGCAGCTTTAGAAACCTATCTTGCACTGGATACGATTCGAGTCTATCCTCAAACTGTCTCTTTAAAGCGTGTACCAGAGCTTTGTGCATGAGGTCTGTTATCTCAAAGCCTCTCATTGAGGGCCCACACAGGATAATAGGTCGTATAACCGGGACACTCTCGTAAGGACCCTGTGCTCGGGTCTCTATCTCCGATACTCTAGTGGGAGCGATGGTGCACAGACTCTCTATACTTCCCATGTCCTCCATCTTATCCACCTGCTTTTCTGGTACTTGCAACTTTTTCTCGTCCTTCATTCCTCCCTTTTTTATCGGACCTAGCTGAGCAGATGCTTCTTCAGCCAGCTTCTTTAGCTTGGCTGGAGCTGGAATGAAACCTATTGGAGCGTCCACTTTAACCACTCGTCCGATCCACCAATCTTCATTATATTTAGCTTTTACATGCAGACAGTCTCTAGCTCTGAAGGTTACTGCTTTCCCGTGTATCGGAGAGTCGTCGTCATGGAAACCATTAAAAGTAAGATTTGTTCTCACAGCAAAGGCTACGTCCATCTTCTCCGCAGAAGATATGATTTCCCAGGCTTCTTTGAGTCCGTATTGATTAGTTGGCAGCAGTTCCCCGCTCCAAACATCCTGTTGAATAACAGTTTAAATCAGAACATGGAAAATACTCAATTAGTTGGCAGCAGTCCAAACAATAACCCACTCTACCAAGATTATTTATTATCATTAAATCATACTTATAGTTGCGGGATAGCCTGTAGCAGGCAACGCCCGATACTAATGTATCTACTGACTTACACAAGTGCAAGTAAGTATGTAAATATTATGCCAGGCATGTGGCACCCATTGCGGTAACCATCTTTTAAAAGTTTTAAAAGAATACTTTTCCAAATACTGCAACTCTATCTACAACAATACTGGAATTAACTGCGACTGGAGCATTAACAGCTCTAAACAGTTCCTGGAAAGGCTGCCTAGACTAGAGATTTTTAATATGCAGGTATACGACTTTACCACTCTGTATACCAATCTAGACCTTCAGGTTGTACAGTCACTGCTTTTCGAGCTAATAGATCTCCTCTTTAGTAATACGAATAAATTTATTTGTGTTTCTCTGTATAAGAACAACAATTTTTTCTCTAAAAAGGAATATAACGGATACTTATGTTTTTCTGCTGATAAACTCAAAACAGCTATTACATTTATTCTGTTTAACACTTTTGTTTGTTTTGGGGATCAGATTTTAAGACAAACGAAAGGCATTCCCATGGGAGGGAATTCTAGTAGCCAGTTCGCTGATCTTTCGCTAGGGAAGTGTGAATTCAACTACATGACACGCCTAATCAAAGAAAAGAAGTTCGGTCTCGCTAAGCTCCTCTCAAGAAACTGCAGATATGTCGACGACCTCAACACCATGAACTATTTGCATTTCTCTAACCTAATCAGGTCCATTTATCCACCTGACCTGCTTATGGAGAGGAGTGGTGACGACAATAAGTCCGTAAACTATCTCGACATCAACATCTCGATGAATAACTCCGGACACGTCGCCACCAAGCTTTACAACAAACTTGATGACTTCAACTTTCCTGTGGTCATGTACACCTTTCCTAACAGTAATATTTCCTCTTCTGTTGGTTATAATGTTTTTTACGGTCAGGTCCTTCGTTACTCTTCCATTATCTCTGACCTTGATTCTTTTCTGTGTTCTACCAACACCCTTTATAGGACACTTCTTTCAAGATGTTATAATGACAGACTCCTGAAGAGTAAATTCAGAAAGCTTCTGAAAGACCGACCTAGTATTCTGTACAAATACAGTATACTTGATGTCAGCGACATCCTTGACATCACATTTAACGTGAACAGGTGATCACTGACGAGTGATTGCTAGGGGGTCTTGGCACATTAAACCGGTACAGGTATTAAACCCCCGAAACCGGTGTGCCAAGTCATCTGCTGATGATGTTCACATTACATTATTTCCTCTCTCCTTTATTCCTTCCGTCTTTTCTTAAACTTACAGTTCAGTTACTTTATTTCACCAGGTCTACCTAAGGATCAATTATTCTTTGGTGGGGTTTCACTTCTGGTATTGGCTTCATTCCCGTTCCTTTTCCTTATTCTTTATACTTATTTTTTATATAGTTTAATGAGATCTATTGAAATTTTTGATTTTCGCTGATTATTTATCAAGACTATAAGTTAGTTTCATCAAGATGTTTCCTTGCTAGTATGCAGATTTCCCATCGTACACCCGTACCCCTATAATAAACAGTGAACTAGGAATTGTTCTTGATTCTCTCTGTTAACTCTAACCTGTATTTCCTTGTAAAGTCTGGCTATTACCTGTATTTCCTTGTAAAGTCTGGCTATTACCTGTATTTCCTTGTAAAGTCTGGCTATTACCTGTATTTCTTTGTAAAGTCTGGCTATTACCTGTATTTCCTTGTAAAGTCTGGCTATTACCTGTATTTCCTTGTAAAGTCTGGCTATTACCTGTATTTCCTTGTAAAGTCTGGCTATTACCTGTATTTCCTTGTAAAGTCTGGCTATTACCTGTATTTCCTTGTAAAGTCTGGCTATTACCTGTATTTCCTTGTAAAGTCTGGCTATTACCTGTATTTCCTTGTAAAGTCTGGCTATTCCGTCATCTACTGCTATCTTTCCTGACTGATCAGTTGCATAGAGGAGCTGATCCAACAACTGAAAGTTATACAAAATTATACAAACTTATAGTTACCATAGTTACACTACTAGTTACCATAGTAACACTACTAGTTACCATAGTTACACTACTAGTTACCATAGTTACACTACTAGTTACCATAGTTACACTACTAGTTACCATAGTTACACTACTAGTTACCATAGTTACACTACTAACTTATACAAACTTATATTAACTGCAGAAAGAGATAGGAAAGATTCTGAACATTTCCTTTTTATATCTGCCTCTCTAAGCCTATCATATTATTATCATGGCACATTGCCAATAATAATATACCGAGGTTTAAAGCGATTTATGACTAAAAAATATCAAGGTATCGAGATCACCCGATAGAAATAGAGAATATATAAACTTACTGCGTCTTTGTCCATAGCTAGTGCCATGATGATCCGCTAAGTGTTATACATGATATTCGTGTAGATCTAGATAAAGGTTCGTTAAGGAAAGTAAACTAACAAATAACGGAGTAGTTCGCTGTTTATTAGTCTCATGATTGAAATACTGATAGTTGGATAATATCCGGTTGGAAGAGACAAGGACAAGTTGTTTGTTTCACTTGTCCTTGTTTCACATGTCCTTGTCTCTTCCAACCGGATATTTTCCAACTATCAGAAAGTAAACTAAACTTTAACAATTATACTTGAATACGTTAAGACTAAATCTACGACCTGCGACAGATAAAATAAAAATATCAGCTAAAGCTAATAAACCTACACCCTGTTAAATAGAAGAACACTAAAACTTTTACTGTTAAATAGATTTCAATGATGTTGAGATCGTGTTTTTAACAATAGTTTCAAATTACTCCGAGATAAAACTAGTTGCATTTAACTGTTCACACACGATAAAAGAAGTAACTGCAAGCTGCAACTAGTTAACTAGTAATTGGATACCACTATCAAGGACTCAGTCGATCACTGGCCCCTTCAATTATAAATATGATTACAGTAAAGTATCTACCATGAGGGTTAGACCTGATTCCGATAAAACATACAATAAACGGCTCGTCAAAAGTCAATCACCGACTATATCAATCACAAAGATGAATTAGACAGGCCTGCATTAAAGGTAGGTGCTTCCCAATAAGCAGTACCACAATAATGTGACACACAGGCAGTAAGGCAGTGCACATGTCACTAAGGCGGTGCACGTGTCAAGTATTAAAGAGCACGTGTTAAGTATTAAAGGGCACGTGTCAAGTAGTATACAGTAGTGAGTACAAATCAACACATGTTCCCTACTATATACACATGTTCCCTACTTGTTCCCTATCTCGCAGTGTAATTGCTCCTCTCCTCAAGCCAGCCTGAACAATGGGCTCGCATTATAATACAGGACAAATCCCCAGTGTGGACTGTGGAGGATGTGTCATTGTTAAGTTTTTAATTCAAGCAATGAAGAGGCGGGGTAATCCCCAGGTTCAAGTACAGCTGCTTAAAGATCATTATTCTTAAGTATAAGAAGATTGAAATCAACCTCGGAACAAGAAAACAGAGCCAGTAACTGGTGCATATCTAAAGAAAGGATCTGGATATTGAAGTAATGTATGCGTAAAAATGGCTGAAGACGAAATAATTGCTTGCTCTCATTTTTGAATTAAGAAATAGTACTTATAGAATTCAAGGCAAAAATAAATAAGTTTATCCAAGACAGTGTTAAGTGGCAATCCTATAGTTATATTAACACATTAATTGAAAGAGTATAAGTGCCTTGTGTAATTAATTGCGTACATTCGCATAATCATATGTATTCTGCAGTATTATAGTACTATAGATGTATAACACAAGCAATCCGGGAACGCATGATAATGGTGTGGTCTAACAATATAGCTCCTTTGTCACCATGGTGATAATCACAGTCACCATGGTGATAATCATGAGGTCACGTGTCTCATTGTATTGTTGATCATTACGAGGTATCAGGGCTAGCTGATTGGCGTACCCAAGCAATACCTTTATACACGTCTCTACATGTTATCCACGTCTGGTAGTAATAACAAGAAATCTTCAGCCCAGATTGAATCTAAAAGTCGGTTTGTAGCTGAAGCGAGGTCCGAGTCTTTCTATAGCAAGCAAACACATCACAACAAACATCAAATAGACAATAATATTAAATAGTTTCAAAAACCGGGTAAAATTCAGCGGAACCGACTCATTTTGATAAAACGGAATGTTTAGCCCCTGTTTACAGTTTAGCTATAGCCGGAATGCAAGAAAAAAGACAGTTTTCTTAGTTTAATCAGCACATTCCACTCGGTATCTTCTCCGGCAAAGAAATAAGCTGGTCGTAAAAACGACCGTCCACCTGGTTAACTCAAGCTGGCACAGATATTTAAGTACTATTTGTGACCAAGTCTGCTTGGTTAACTCAAGCTGGCACAGATATTTAAGTACTATTTGTGACCAAGCTGGCACAGATATTTAAGTACTATTTGTGACCAAGTCTGCTCTGCGCTGGTATGGTAGGACGCGGTTCCGTTACAACAATCAGGGATTTCTGGTCAGTAAATGATCCTTATAAACATTAATGATTTGGTAATGTTAATAAAGAGGTCATAAATCGTAGGAGAGAATGGCCGGGTCAAGTTATTTCAGTGTCTGTTTAAACTTAAAACTCATTTAATCTTTAATTTGCTGACGATTATGAACCTCAAGAATGTCCTGGTAAAATGGCACCTGTCAGATATCACGATTTGTAATGCAATTGCAGTTGTCCATTTATTATTATTTAATTATCAAACTCAGTTATATTCAAGCTGTGGCCGTGGGTGAACGATTTAAACCATCAAACTGAAACAGTTTTTCGCAATCCATCAAGTATAACGAAACTCAGTGGTGGAACAGGGGGCAAGCAATAAAGTGCAATATTTTTCATGTTACTGAAGAAAGTTGTGACAAACTCCGATCCAAAAAGGAACTGCGAACCCTGATGCGGGATATGGGTATTTTTTTAAAACAGGCTGACCCACGAAAGGATAGCATGAGGATGCTCTGCCTGCCTCTGGGATATGGCAACCCTTAAAGAGGTTACCGGAGTTATCTATGTGAAATGTGGAGGTGAAGTGAGGGGGCATGAGTAGCTCAATTGCCAAATGGATTCGATGACCAGAGATAATGAGCTAAGCCAACACGAAAGGCTCTAAGTCACCCCTGTCTGGTCCAGCTTCTCGGGCACGATTAGGCATTTAGAGCGATTTAGGAAGTTGACGATAGTGGAGATATGTTGGTTGTCAAAGATATCTCCACTAAAGATATCGTTGACAGGGAGGTAATAATCCTGAAAGTATTGCCCTCTCTCTCCCTCCCTCCCTCCTTTAGTTGTACTTGTACAATAGCTGTGCACTGTCCGAAAATATGGATAATGGAAATGGTTTATCTGGCGTGATACTAGTACTACTAATACAGTAATACTATTAGTAGTATTGGTAGTAGTAATAGTAGTACATTACTAATACAGTAAAACTATTAGTAATATTGGTAGTAGTAATAGTAGTACATCGGTTTAGAACACGTTAGAAACTCGTTAACACCACGTGGCTTCTTATAACAAAATGAAATATAACAATTAAACAAATAATCGTAAATTGAAACACATTTTAACGCAGCAAATTATCACAAATAAATGTTGTCGGGTCGTGATTTGATAACGTGAGGATACATAATTGGGATGTCCGACCATTTCCTTACCAGCCCGGTGAGGGTGAACGTGTTTGTCGGTTAACAAGAAAACCGACCGATAGGACAGCCTCATCATGAGTAAAATTTGAAAGGCAAATATTTGGAAATGGATCCGAAATATCGGGAAATGGTTCCGAAGTAAGAGGAAAAATTGGGAAATGTTCTCGAAATAAGAGAGAATTGGGAATTATCAATTAACACCCCCAAAATAAGAGGAAACAATTGCTGAGATTGGAAGTAAGGGATTTGTCTAACGTCTGTCACGTTATCGTCATACCAAACAACAAAGTTCATTAATAATAACTGTGACTTAAATATCGTGGTGGTGACCGTGATTCAGATTGTATCGCGAGACCTACCTTTAATAAAGCACGTGCACGGACCAAATATTATCTATTTGTAATGCAATTTTAGCTCAGATATTGATATTATATAGTTACCTCCGATATTAATTATTATCGTATTTTTCGATGACGGTCATCAATTTTATCAAAGATAAAGCAAAATTCAATTGTATTGTAATTGTTCTAAAATTAGCCTTGGATCGCCCAGCTGATTTGTAACGTAGAAATCAGCGTGGAAGTAAAACAGTCCCAATAAAGCCAGGTTCTGAGGTCCACGGTAAACCGTAGTTTGACTGTACACAGCACAAGCGGAATGATGGTCACTAAATAATACTCCTTTATAAATACCTTTATTGATAATAATAATATCTTTGCAAAACTCCAGTTTCTTTTTAGTGACAAGCGCTGTCATTGTCTATCAATTACACACTGTTTACCAATAACAAAACTTCAACAATAAGGAAAGACATGCGTCAAAGCAAAATAACATAATATATTGTAGCGAGAACTGTACAACAAAGCAATTACATACACCGTGCTGTACAATATACAGGCAGATTGCGCTGCTAGTGCACGCCAGATTGGTATACAGTGATATCAGGGAGAATGCAAAGAGCTTTTCCTGTTTTGGTCCTACAGAGAGAGAGAGAGAGAGAGAGAGAGCTGGTTACCCCCCGCGAAGGAGAGTTTGTGCGTGTGTGCGTGTGTATGTGTGTAAAGCTAAGATTTAGTCTGGAATTATAGGAGGAAATGAGGGATTTATTACCAGCAATATAACAAGAGCCAATATAAATATGCTGCATGTCACTATAGTGCCTTTTTGTTAATTTTCTTGGCCTGATTTTACCGGGAAATGGTCTCGAAGTAACTGGCACACGAATTAAGATGTTGCCAAAGAATGCACAGCTCTACCAGCTCCGCAAGCAATCCTCAGCTCTACCAGGACGCATGAGAGCAGGAAAGACAGAGTATGTAAGTTAGGTTTGTTAAGGATGGAGACTAAGAGGAGAAAGTTAGGCCGGTTAGTCAACCGGTTGATCCAGCTATTATGTACATGTCTGGGTGATCCTATTAATTATTTAATTATTTAATTAGTTAATTATGAGCAACAATTAGGAAAGCAATTAGGAGTAACAATTATCTGCCGTCTTTGTAGGCTTCTCGGGGTGATTCCTCTTCATTACCTCACAATGTTGAAACGGTCCGGCGTTTTCCCTAGATGTAGTAGCACTAGTCACTACTTGATTGCTGGCCGGAGATTACTCTCTTCGATACGCGATATTTTACACCGTGCCCTAACGTGTAACGATAATTGGCAACCTGGACTGTTTCTTAATTCTTTTTACATACCTGATACCTTATCAGACATGATTGTCACGGACAAGTTTTTCAAGGACCAAATTTTTTACGGACATAATTATTCACGTAAATAATTATGTCCGTAAAAGTACGCTCATGACCGCCCAAAAATTGTTAGTGATCATATTTGTCTTAGTATACTAATAAACTAATACAGTAATCGGCTACTCACATAGCCGATTACTGACCGTGATAATTATGACCGATAAGGTAGGAAATTCACAGAAGCAGGTATTTTAGACGGGTGATCAGGGGTATCCACTTCAAATACCAATTTATGTCAAGTTGGCAGTTTTCCGGGGAATTTCCTTAGAAACCATAATTGCAATGACAAACGCAATGTGCTAGGAAAGTTGCAAATTGGCCAATTAATTAAATCTGTCATGTAATCGACAATTTGACATTGATAATGATAATAGAAATTTGATAACGAATTTGTTGATTGATTAGGACAGCTATTAATTAATATTTAGTCTCGAAAATCTAAAGCAAAGCAAGGTCGTCTATCAAATTGCGCCTGTACAGTGTACTCAAAATGGCTGTCGAGGTAGACTAATCTACGCAGCTGTATTTAAAAGTAACAAAACCAGACAAAGCTCAAAATCACACTTTACGTTACAAGATCACACGTTACAAGATCACACATTACGTTACAAGATCACACGCCACAAGATCACACTTTACGTTACAAGATCACACGCCACAATATCACACATTACGTTACAAGATCACACATTACGTTACAAGATCCCACATTACGTTACAAGATCCCACATTACGTTACAAGATCACACATTACCTTACAAGATCACACGCCACAAGATCACACATTACGTTACAAGATCCCACATTACGTTACAAGATCCCACGTTACGTTACAAGATCACACATTACCTTACAAGATCACACGCCACAAGATCACACATTACAGAGGGTGAGAGAGCTAGTACAAGAAACCCCTACCTCCGCGTGAATAGTATCAAACCGCGTACAATCATTAGTACACTCCGCAAGCAATCATTACCTCATTACCCCGGCTAATTGATCCATTATCTGGTGATTATACAGACCTGGAGTGTACTAGTGAGGATTGCTTGCGGAGTGTAGCAGAGGTGTAGTTGAGAGCGTGTGTTATAATACACTTGCTCTCAATTACACTTGCTCTCTTGCTTGTACCAGAGGAGCGGAACTATCCTGGTTACTAGTAGTAGTACTGTATCACAAGGAATGGTTGCTGGTACTGGGTCACAAGGAATGGCTACTAGTAGAAATATTATATTATCAATACTACTATACTAGTGTAACCCTGAGATTTTTATCAAATATGTGAATTTCGACAGCCGCGGACGATTTGAAAAGATGAAGCTTCTATTCTGATGATTTACCGGTTATCAAAGTTTTCTTTGGTAATCTGACTTTCAGTACCTCAATCGTGTCTTGTGCCATCCTCAGTGACCTTGTAAGATGGTCATTCAAGAATTAATATTCAATCAAAACAACGAAATTTGGGTCGCGGAAAGCTGAAATTCGAATATGTCCCACCGGTAGGACATATTCAACATTTTCATTGCATCAACGTTTCCTCCAGATATACTGCTTTCAGCACCTTGATGGCGACTTGTGTCACTCTCTCCGACCTCACTGATTGGTCAATGGTCAAAATTTCAGTCAAAACCGCGAAATTTCTGTCAAGGGGACGGCAGAACAGCTCCTCTTCAAAAATCTTCCAAAATCTCTTTTTTTGATATTCTGATGATTTTACGTTTATCGAAGCTTTTTTTGGGAATAGAACTACTTCAATAGGGTAATCGTACTGTAGTGCGACACGTACTCTAGTGCGACACGTACTCTAGTGCGAAGTCCGACAAAAACACCCTCTGTCGCACTAGGGTACGTGTCGCACTACGATCCAGGTAGCGTACTCTACTGCGACAAAATATCCTGACTTATTTCCAAGTTCAGGTCACATCCTATCCTTCTTATGGATCATTAAGTGATTCGTCGGGTCGGTTCACGTCACTTATTTCGAAGTGATCTTGCGAACATGATTCGTCGGTTCACATCATGTATTTCGAAGTGATCCACTGATCATAATTCCTTCGGGTCAGTTCAAGCGACGTATGTGATCCACTGAGTAACTCGTAAGCAGCATAAGATCCTCATTCCTATCACACGCATCGTATGAAGGTATATCTCCGATCGGGATAACAAGTTCATATGCTTGGGCCATACATAAGGTCACGATGATTCTACCAAAGCATCGAACAACATCAATATGTCTTCTTCAATCACCTTCATTCCTGGACGCACTACTGGTTCAAGAAACGTTATCCACGACGGATACCGCTACTGGCTGGATAAGAAGCGCGACCACAAGACCTAGTGGCGATGCACTGAGAAGATCTGCTCCGGACGTCTCAGTCTGATGAACGACACTACAGTTGGTGATTATCCACGGACTCTATCCTGACGGCTGGAGAATTCCCCTTGCATTCGGCTTACTCCCCGGAAAGACGCAGGCTCATTGTGAAGCCCTCTTGGATGAGCTCCTTGCATTTGGGGTCGACCCTCAATCTGTCATGAGTGACTACGAGAGAGCCCTGATAAACGCTGTGGAGACAACCTGGCCCACTACTACCAAGAGAGGATGCAACATGACCTAGTCCCGGAATACAACGCAGAGAACTCAGCAGTCCGGAAATACTAGATGATCGGTGCTATTGCCTTCGTGGACTTTGGAGACGTACTGGATACCTGGACGCAGCTGAAAGCAACCCTTCCCTCGGAGATGGATTCCTTTGCTGACTACAACGAACGTACCTGGGTCGGAACACAAACCTCCTCTCCCCTCTACACCCACTGGATCTGGAATCAACAGGATGCTGTCATGGCCGGACTCCCCAGAAGTTCCATCATTGCTGAGGGTTGGCACAACGGTTTTCTATCCTTGATGGGATGCACCAACCCTACTATCTGACGATTTATCGACGTCCTGAAGAAGGAGCAGGATCTAACCCAATGGAAGATCAACCAGAAGATGCTCAGACAACCACCTCCTCGCCGACTGAAGAAGTGGACCGATTACGACCGTCGCTTGAACGCTGTGATTGATAGCTACGATGATTATGACAGAATGGATTATTTGAAGTGTGTTGAAACAATGATTTTGAATTGAATATTGTGATTGTAATCTTTGATTTTATATTTAACCCCATTACTTATACACGACTACACTCAAGTCAAATTTGAACTTTACACATTGAATGTGTAAAGTGTTTTGTCGCACTTTAGTTCGTGTCGCACTGCAGTCCAGGTAGCGCACTGTAGTGCGACAGTGTCGGCCTTGAAAATTCTCTTGTCGCACTAGGGTACGTGTCGCACTACGATCCAGGTAGCGTACTCTACTGCGACTGTGTCGATTTTGGAGGTTTCGCACTAGGGTACGTGTCGCACTAGAGTACGTGTCGCACTACAGTACGTGAACCCTTCAATAGTGTCTTGTACCATCCTCAGTGACCTTGTATGGTGGTCATTCAAGAAAAATTCAGTCAAAACAGAGAATGTTTTGCTCATTTGTCGGATGCATATAGATGTTTCTGCTTTATTTAGAAATTTGACAACGATTTACATTAAGTCATTGTATCAACACCCAAACCCCAAATCTGATTCTAATAAAATGATAAATCTTCTGAAATAAATAATTTACTATAAAAGTCTGCTTGTAAGATCCTGTGTAATCCTGTGTAATCATACACGCAGATTGAAGTTGCACTTTTTATTCTAAAATGGAAACATTTTCTTTTTCAAACATCAGTTGTTTAAAATTTCCTTGAATTGAATCTTTACGAGGTCAATTTTTTGCGCCGTAGAAGCTGTTCAATATTTTGTGGGCAGCCCTCATCCAGAGTAATGTCTTGCTTCTGGTAGAGTCTAGGGCATCCAATACTATCCTCCCAGTTGTAGATCTTTACACCCTCGATATCACATCTAGTGGAATTAACAGTTAGATATAATAGATGTACAGCTTTTAAAGTAGAGAGATCAGAGAACGTGGCTCAGTGGCGTAACGAAGGGCCCCGCTGACCCCGCTGTGAGGGAAGGGGGGTATCTTAGGGGGGCGCCAAATCGTCGTTTGAATGTGGGACAATTTTGCTCTAGAAACACACTTTTTTAGAGATTTTACCGGCGTATCCTCTAAAATCACCTAATTTGTTCAATTTTAGGGAGGGGCGCCAAAATGGGAGGGGGCGCCAACAGGGGGGCGCATTTTTGGCGGGAAGCGCCAGCAGGCAAAGTTACGCCACTGAGTCGTGGCTGAGTATAATATGTTTGAAGATTAATTCATAGTTAAATTATTACTCTAGAAGACACAGATCGTCTAAAGGACTCTGCACCTCTGAACGTAGGTTCCCACAGCAATACACTGAGGGGAGAGTTTGTCAGTTAACCATATCTGAGCACACACGTCCACCACACAGCCCTCAATAAACGGCTCCTTTTCTACTCCGCACTCTTCTAGTCCTGCTGCTCGGAACGCTTTCTGGCATCTCTGTGGCAGTTTGTTTGGGTTCAATTAATCAACTCAGTTTGTTTTACAGAGCATCTGGATATTGGGTTGTCACGATGAACTGCGAGTACAGATCAATAAAAGATGATGAAATGTACTTTCTATCAGCTGGAATACGCGGATCTGGAGTCTAAACATGAACTGGTAACGAGGTAACCAGGTTACCAGGTAACCAGGTTACGAACTTTCTCTCTCACCTGTTTAGCTTGTTTCCTGCTGCTGAAAGAGCACTTTTTGTTGACATTTGGGATGTTCTTCTCACATTTGTTGGATCTGTCTACGGCCCAACTATCCCCAACCACCACTTCATCACCCGTCACTCCTCTTCTAGAGAATAAGAAACGTTTTGCTATTGAACGTTGAACTAGGGTTAACTCAATTCAATTTATCCGACTCATTCATATGCTACAACAAAGCTTATCTCGCTCAGTTCAAGTTCAAACCTGTTTTTAACTAGTTATAATTATAATTATATTAAAGTATTAGTATTTAGAAATAATATTAATAATATTAGAAAACTATTACCTTCCCAGTAGATCGTTATCTGGTTCCAGGTCGTTATTACCGCACAGCCCACACGTAGTAGCCTCAGCAGGAGCCAAGATGTGAACTGAAACTAAACCGTCCCAAACCACCTCAACATCTAGTAGAAGGACAGTTGTCAGGTAATTTTAATACTGGATCACTTGACAAAGTTAAGTTATAATAACAGCTGATCAAAATCGTATTGTTACAACTAAAAAGTTTCTTTTCATAATATTAATAAGGATTAAATAACTGATTCACTCGTACTTGAAGCATCAAGTTTGACCCTCAGATTTCTTCCATCAAATGAGATGGTCATGGGCCCGTTCCTAACAGTCTGATCGAGAGTGATGTTCATCTTCTCTCCTCCGAGGTTGATTACCCAGCCTCGCTGTAGCTCCACTGCTGATCCGCCCGAGAATAATGTTATCGAACTGGACATTTAGGTTACCATAGTTACCATAGTAATAATTAGTGGCAAATTAATGAATAAGGGTACTGATAAGAATCCTGCTATCTCTGCAATACAACTCTTATATTGTGCGAATTTTATATCTTGCGTTTAAAAATCATATAAAGTTATTTTGACGAAGGTGAATATAATTTGAGACTGTCTCACAAGCTATAGATTGCTGAAGTCAGATAAAATAATGAATAACTCCAGAATAAATAATGAGTTACGACAGATGAAATAATTACTTACCTCAGGCAGGAACCACGAGCACTAGTTGCAGAACATTTATCCATTTTACCGTAGACCAACCACCCAGCAAACTGACAGTCCATAGCGAGAACATAAGTGCACTCTCCCATGAAGTCGTACGTAAACCCATCAAATGTGATGAGGTGGGGGTCTCCAAATACTGTACACACCTTGTAAATATAATCTGTAATCAATTCAGTTCCAATTAGTGTAATTACAGACTTGAAGAGACATTGAATTTAGTTATTTTATTTTCCTATTGCACAAGATTGATAATTAGATACAAGATCTGTACAGTGTACTGGAGCGAGTTTCTTGAAACATATAAATAATACGATAGTTTGTGGTAACTTTTTAAAAACATGTGTTAACCATCTTCAGTTGTTTAAGCTTTATCGTGCGATGTTTTGTCTAATATGCGAGCTAGGTAGCAAAGATAAGCGTGCTGCATGTGATAATAATCACGTGATCACATGGCACTCCATATATGGGCATCACGTGTCCATATATGGACATCACGTGGTCTACCTATTCTTGTGATAATAGTAACGTGATTTGGCTGTTCATGTTAAGTTTAACGGAGAGACAAGTAAGAGCTAAGCAGCAGCATGCACTGCAGCATATCTGCAACTAACAATCACTGCACTCCTTGGTAACGGTGATTCAACTAATATATATATAAGACACCGAATCAGTGGACAGGCATTACTATTTTTCAACTTTTCATCAACTTAAGATTGTTCCAGTTAATTCTTCGCTATGAGAGAGATTGTTCACTTACAGGCCGGCCAATGCGGCAACCAGATCGGATCTAAATTCTGGGAGGTTCGTAATCTTTTTCTATCTTTTGTATTCTTCTGTTACAATTTTAATCTTAACCTAAGTTAAAGTGTACGTTTTCGAGTAATTGAGTGAGTTTAATCGCACTTTGCAAGTAATGAAAGGTAGAAATACGATTAAGAATGTCTACTACTTACAAGAATAAAAAATAGAACGAGTTTAAAGTGTAAATTAACTCTAACAAATACGATTTTTGATACTAAATAGAACTAATTCAGGTAATCTCTGACGAGCATGGTGTTGACCCCACTGGAACCTACCACGGAGACTCCGACCTGCAGTTGGAGAGATCAATGTCTACTACAACGAGGCCACCGGTGGAAAGTACGTTCCCCGTGCTGTCCTTGTGGACTTGGAGCCTGGAACCATGGACTCCGTCCGATCCGGACCTTTCGGCCAGATCTTCAGACCTGACAACTTCGTCTTCGGACAGTCAGGAGCTGGAAACAACTGGGCCAAGGGACATTACACCGAGGGAGCCGAACTCGTCGACTCTGTTCTGGATGTAGTCAGGAAGGAAGCTGAGGGCTGTGACTGCCTTCAGGGATTCCAGCTGGCTCACTCTCTCGGAGGTGGAACCGGATCCGGAATGGGAACACTCCTGATCTCCAAGATCCGTGAGGAATACCCCGACAGGATCATGACCACTTACTCCGTAGTCCCATCCCCCAAGGTCTCTGACACAGTTGTCGAGCCTTACAACGCCACCCTCTCCGTCCATCAGCTGGTTGAGAACACCGATGAGACCTTCGCCATCGACAACGAGGCTCTCTACGATATCTGCTTCAGGACCTTGAAACTCACCACCCCCACCTACGGAGATCTTAACCATCTCGTCTCCGCCACCATGTCTGGTGTCACCACCTGCCTGAGGTTCCCTGGACAGCTTAACGCTGATCTCAGGAAACTCGCAGTCAACATGGTTCCCTTCCCCCGTCTCCACTTCTTCATCCCCGGATTCGCTCCTCTGACCAGCCGAGGATCCCAGCAGTACAGAGCTCTGACCGTCCCTGAGCTCTCCGCCCAGATGTTCGATGCCAAGAACATGATGGCCGCTTGCGACCCCAGACACGGCCGATACCTCACAGTTGCCGCCATGTTCCGAGGACGTATGTCCATGAAGGAAGTCGATGAGCAGATGCTGAACGTACAGAACAAGAACAGCAGCTACTTCGTCGAATGGATCCCCAACAACGTCAAGACCGCCGTCTGTGACATTCCTCCCAGAGGACTCAAGATGTCTGCTACCTTCATCGGAAACAGCACTGCCATCCAGGAGCTCTTCAAGAGGATCAGCGAACAGTTCACTGCTATGTTCAGGCGTAAGGCTTTCCTCCATTGGTACACTGGTGAAGGTATGGACGAGATGGAATTCACTGAAGCCGAGAGCAACATGAACGATCTCGTTTCTGAGTACCAACAGGTAATTTTTATTTGATTCTAAATTTTATATGATACGATATTATTTTCTTCGATCATCATTGACTTTTGCGATTTGAATGGGCTCGTCTTCTGATCGATGATATTTTATTATTATTTATATTTTTATCGGAATATTATTCGAGCGATAAGACTAACACAATTCCTTATTTCAGTACCAGGACGCCACCGCCGAGGAGGAAGGAGAATTCGACGAGGAGGAGGAAGAAGAAGAGGGATAAGTTCTCACCTCGCATACAGTAACTAGTGACGTCATCGCACTATCTAGTGACATCATCACGCTATATTCCTTCAACATTCAGTAATGAATTGTAACGGACGATAACGTAGGGAGATGTTTAATTTAATGTAACGTGATTTTTTAGTGGACGCTTAAAAGAAGACATAGGACAATTTTCTGTGTCTTTTTCTGGGAATGTTTCATTATAATTTCATATTCATTCGCAACTGTTTGTAAAATTCTTGCAATTTCATCAACAACAAAAAAATGTGTTTTAATTCTAACATTTTCCAAATCACAGTGCTGGCAAGCACGACCGTTGCATTTATTGTGGGTATACTATGTTCCCCATTTACTATTATACCCCTTTACTATTATACCCCCTTAACTATATACCCCCTTTGGTACACGTTACAAGCCTCTTTTGTGCACGCGAAGCGTGCACTCCGGCCGGGGGCGGCGGCCGAAGGCCGCCGCCTCCGGCAGGAGTTTTCCAGGCATTAAGACTCATCGGAAGTCGTTAAGCAGAATTATTTTTAGTTCAAAACATTCTAATTTGATGTCAACGATGACAGGAATAAAAAATAGTTATGTTGAGATTTTTAAGAAATTTGCATAAAATACTCGCCAGCACTGTTATACGAAATTCGGTAAAAAACCCAAAATCGCCATATTCAGGTGCCTTAAAAACCATGTTAAAATTGAGTTAGAGATCTGAAATTTTTCAGGGCGTCTAGACGTTGATCAAATCGACTGCAAAAAAAGTTTCAGGTTTCAGGAGTATCGGGAAATGGGTTTTCTAGAACCCCTGTTTTACGACAGATTGTCGTGATATATATATTATATATACATATTCAGGGATAGACGCTTTGCCAGTCAATTGTAGCCTGTATTTAATTGTCCATAGATTCAAAAGTATAAAAGATAAAGCCATTTCCGACCACAGGTCTTGCAAATAATTGTTTACACTTTAGTTTACATTGTATAAAAAAATTATTTGACGTCATAAACACCCCTTGATGACGTCATCAAGTTAACCGTTTTTAAAACTTGATTTTTGACAAAGTAATAACTTTTAAAATTAATTTTAAACCATTAAGGAGTAATTTTATTCAAAATCTGAGGAGATTTTCATCTTAGATAATTGTTCAAGCATTCTGAAAATCTACCGGAAAGTTTTTCTAGCTTGCTCCTTCATAAAGATATTCGTCATTGAAGTTTGTGCTTTTTTGAAGAATTATTTTATAAAAACGTCAATTTTGTGATTTAGTATTCTCTGGTGTTGGGCCATGCCTTGAGTTGAGGAGCTCAGTTCTGCTTCCTATAGGTATAAATTGTGCATTAGGCTAGTTTTGAAGTTGAAAATCGAAAAGTTGCACACGTGGGGACACGCCCAAATTGATAGAAAATTGCTAAAATCACTGAAAATTGCTGTTTTCGTCATTTTCTGTCAACTTTAGAGTGCCGTTGTGATTACAGTTCTTCTTGAAATACTTTGAAACTTTGCATGCTTATCAAGCTATATATAAAACAATTACATGAAAAAATTTACGGCGATTCAATATTGGATGCGCACGCAACGTCCGCTCAAAGTTTGCACGTGCGAAAGGTGAGAATTTTGCTCATTCGTGATTTCCAACAAATTCTGCTTTGCCACGACAGTTTAATGTCATTATATATGAATTTAATGCCAACTTGAATGAGTATTAGGTGGCATATTCAGTCAGTGATCGACCGATATGCTTACCTAAACAAAAGGAAATGTTTTTAAAGGAAAATTTCGAAATCGTTGAAACTTCCTCCTTATTAATTAATGAAGATATCAGTTTATATTTCGACTTTATAAAGTACCCTGACATTATAATCAAAAAGAGATGATATTTTACCAAAACCCATATTCATGGGTAGAGTGGACCGCTGCCAGTGTCTCTCTTTCCCAAACAAAAGGAAATGATATTAATTTGATTGACCGTTCTCAAATGCAAAATGATACCGAGAATGAAATCGGTCGCTCGCTTTTCCCATTCATTTACAATTGTAATAGATTAAGAAGATCTACCCAAAGGCAGCTGTACTCGGCAATAAAGATTCAATAAACTTCAGCTAATTCAATAAGCAATAACTACTACCCTTACCCCGAAATACTAGGTATCGATCCGAACGCAACCCAAAGAGATTTTTACAGCATCTGACTGATGTAATCAATCGAAATTTATTACAATTCGTAAGCCGTGAATGAATGGAAAAAGCGAGCGACCGATTTCATTCTCGGTATCATTTTGCATTTGAGAACGGTCAATCAAATTAATATCATTTCCTTTTGTTTGGGAAAGAGAGACACTGGCAGCGGTCCACTCTACCCATGAATATGGGTTTTGGTAAAATACTGTACACAGATAATGTAGTATGGAAACAAAATACTCGATTTAGAGTTGGACCCTAATAGAAAAACTCTATTTCATAGCTTTGGCTTGACATGTAACCATAGTAACCATAGTAACCATAGTAACCATAGTAACCATAGTAACCATAGTAACCATAGTATCTCTACGAATTACAGAGCTTACTGTAACCATGGTAACTGTATTGAGGGGACGCTAATCTTAAGATCCCCCGCTGAATTAGGGTCTAGACTCATACCATCAGCCTCTTAAGTTTTACATATGCTAAGTTGGGCCGGGGTGCAGCCTCTTATCTTGCAGTTTTATATACGCTAACGTGTTGTGGCACATGTGTTAAGCTCATGAACCTGCCGGTTCGTGAACCAGACTGATGTTAAGAGTTTGAACAGCGTTTAAACGCTGTTCAAACTCTTAGACGGTCTGTATTTATGGTGATGCAGCAAATGTTCCTATAAATATTTGGGTAACTTGACTCAGTTATTAGTCCTTACATCGAGGTCACATGAACTCAGAGGCATCATGACTCTACGAATGAACTTATGAATAGTAATTAGTAAGGTGTAGGTAACAGGGCCGGTGATATATGGTCTCTCCAGAATCGTGATATCTGATACACACGAGACTGTCATCAGTCAGTTACCATGGGTACAGTCGCCCAGTGATCAACAGGGGCGGCTCTTTGGAATCCTGATCTCAGATCAGAACTCAGATCAGAACTCTTTTTATAAACCTCGCTCAAATCGAGAGTTTAAGCTCCATAGTCCATTGTTTATCACTTCCTTAGTGAGCTGGTGGGCAGGGTATCCTCCTATGTTTGGGTAATTCTTTCTCCATCTAACCCAAATCATTAGATTGATCCCGTCCACGGTAAGGTTCATGAATATTATGGATCATCTGATTATAGATATAAGTGTAGCACATGGTACCTGGAACCTGTGACTAATTATTGCATTTATTTGTCTGTTTTGATGTTTATTGATAAGAAATTGTCGGCCCTATTTTCACTACCAGTACCTGGAACCCCCAGATCATGTTCCAACAATGATCTTTAGCTTAGACGTCACCTGATTTGTGGTTATAGGCAGCCGTGTTAAGATAACTGGTCACTTAGTTGAACTCTTTACTCGTTATACGTCTTGTATTATTGTGTTAAGATAACTGGTCACTAAGTTGAACTCTTTACTCGTTATACGTCTGGTATTATTGTGTTAAGATAACTGGTCACTTAGTTGAACTCTTTACTCGTTATACGTCTTGTATTATTGTGTTAAGATAACTGGTCACTAAGTTGAACTCTTTACTCGTTATACGTCTGGTATTATTGTGTTAAGATAACTGGTCACTAAGTTGAACTCTTTACTCGTTATACGTCTGGTATTATTGTGTTAAGATAACTGGTCACTTAGTTGAACTCTTTACTCGTTATACGTCTTGTATTATTGTGTTAAGATAACTGGTCACTAAGTTGAACTCTTTACTCGTTATACGTCTGGTATTATTGTGTTAAGATAACTGGTCACTAAGTTGAACTCTTTACTCGTTATACGTCTGGTATTATTGTGTTAAGATAACTGGTCACTAAGTTGAACTCTTTACTCGTTATACATCTGGTATTATTGTGACAAGTTATCTGTCATAGCTTGATTCGTGCGTATTCAAGTTTTGATCCATCTAAAATCATCAAAATATAATACAGCTGCTGTTTGTTTGTTGATACTTTGATAGTGTTGGATAAATATTCTAAAATCATTCCATATGTTATCTAAATAACTAAGTTATGTAGCTGCTATCTGAGTTTGATAGGTTGCATCACACTCTATAATAACATAACGCTATAATAACACTATGTAGTATGTAATGGCACTATGCAGTATGTAATGGCACTATGCAGTATGTAATGGCACTATGTAGTATGTAATGGCACTATGTAGTATGTAACGGCACTATGTAGTATGTAATGGCACTATGTAGTATGTAACGGCACTATGTAGTATGTAATGGCACTATGTAGTATGTAATGGCACTATGTGATGCACTATAATACTCCAGTAGGACTATAAGATTAGTCTACTCCACAGTTCTTAAGGGCTATTCTGACCTCACAATTAACATGGGTGTGTTGAGAGTGCCGTATCCGGTGCGGCTAGCTCTGCGTTTACATTTGTTTGTGTGTTTACAGTTGTTTGGGCTTTCAGTTGTTTGTGTGTGTGTGTGTGTGTGTGTGTGTGTGGTGACTGGTGGTGCAAATATCCCGGGTCTAAATTATGTAGCTGCTAGCTGAGTGACTATCTTTGATCACACTCTATAATAACATAACGCTATAATAACACTATGTAGTATGTAATGGCACTATGTAGTATGTAATGGCACTATGCAGTATGTAATGGCACTATGTAGTATGTAATGGCACTATGTAGTATGTAATGGCACTATGTAGTATGTAATGGCACTATGTAGTATGTAATGGCACTATGTAGTATGTAATGGCACTATGTAGTATGTAATGGCACTATGTAGTATGTAATGGCACTATGTGATGCACTATAATACTCCAGTAGCACTATAAGATTAGTCTACTCCACAGCTCTTAAGGGCTATTCTGACCTCACAATTAACATGGGTGTGTTTGCAGTATCCGGTGCGGCTAGCACTGTGATTTCAGTAGTTTGTGCGTTTACATTTGTTTGTGTGTCTGTGGTGACTGGTGGTGCAAATATCCCGGGTGTATACCATACTGTATTACTGATGTGATGTTTGGAGAGGGATATCTGGCGTAGATCGAACTTAGTTTATGTTGTTGCAGTATTGTTGTAATATTTTTGATACTTTTTTGAGTTAAATAGAGGACGATAAATTAATGTTTTCGTAATTGATGAATTTTTGTTTAGCAATGATTAATTACCATGGATTTATTTAGGCAAGGTTCAACCTAAGATCAGAGATGATCATGGTGATGATTATCGTTCTCATGTCCATACTCGAGGCGAGAAGTGAAGGAGGTAAAACATTTCCAAATAATCATGAGTTTAGAAGTTCAGAGTGCATCGCTTTTAGCACTTTTATGATTGACTCGGTGCCTACTGCCATTCCATCAAGATAATCATCATTGAAATTAATTTGATTAATTCTATCTTTCAGTGTGAGTACCTGCAGTTATAGGCACAGAATACCAGCATAACATCGCTCGGCGACCACTCCAAATAAGAACAAAAGACAAACTGGAAAAGGCTGACAAGATAGCAGTAGCTATCAGAACAGACAGTAAACTGGTTGGGGTGATCAAGCTGGAGTTCTTCCCTGACAGTGAGGATCCTTATGTGAGCTACTCAGTACAACACTGCACTGGGAATGAGACTCAGAATGTAGGGGAGAAGTTGGGGGAGACTGGGAGGGGCTTCAAGGAGTTCAAGATAACGAAGGATGAAGAGAGGCTGGTCCTTGTATGCGATGGAGTGGAGTTAGTGACAATGGTTACATTCTCCTCCACCTCCACTGACTTTCCCGGTATAGGAACTTTCAATAAGTCTCAATTTGAAATTGTAAATAACTTGATTTAACTAATTTAACCGTTGATTTTAAAGAAGTGAAGGTAAAATTGGTGAAAATGTTCTTCTACAGATTGCATAAAGAAATGGGCTGGTGATACGAGCATTGTTAAATTCTGGTCAAAGAGCAACGCTCAGGAAACTATTCTTCTGTACCCCAGTAAGTATTATATATTAAGTAACTAAAATAAGTAAGTATAATATATTGAATATTTAACTTACTATATTTTATTATGTATTATCATTGAGTAATTAGTTGTAATGAAACGAAAAGGGATTTGTTTCATTCCGACTAATTCACTACATTTAACTTAGAATATAACTTCATATCAACATTGAATCACAATTTCTCTCGTTAGATCCAAACTGAAATGTTAACCATCGTTCAAGAAAACCCAATATAACCCAAATCAAGAAGCTCCCCTACCCGTTTCCTAGACTCCAGGTTATCAGGCCGGAATGTGGGAGTAGGTGTGACCTCCTCCTCCACTTCCACTACCACTTCCTGACTCCGGTACTCTCTCTCACACTGTCTAGCTTCACACCTGTATCTCCCTTTGTCACGTGAGCTGAGCGAGGTGACACGGAGTACGGACCTCGAGGACACCTGATGGAGATACGAATATCAGAATCAGGAGAGTCAGTGCTAGGATTGATATTTATTTTAAATTTAACCATTTTAGTTAATATTAGCTGTCTTCAGGTACCAAGTACTTTGATAAACCTTATTCGTGATAAATCTGGCAGATCTGGCAGACTCACCCTAGCAACACTCACCCTAGCAACAGTACTCACCCTAGCAACAGTACTCACCCTAGCAACAGTACTCACCCTAGAAACAGTACTCACCCTAGCAACAGTACTCACCCTAGCAACACTCACCCTAGTAACAGTAAATACTCACCCTAGCAGCAGTAAATACTCACCCTAGCAATAATAAACACTCACCCTAGCAACAGTACTCACCCTAGCAATAGTACTCACCCTAGCAACAGTACTCACCCTAGCAACAGTACTCACCCTAGCAGCAGTACTCACCCTAGCAACAGTACTCACCCTAGCAACAGTACTCACCCTAGCAACAGTACTCACCCTAGCAACAGTACTCACCCTAGCAACACTCACCCTAGTAACAGTAAATACTCACCCTAGCAGCAGTAAATACTCACCCTAGCAATAATAAACACTCACCCTAGCAACAGTACTCACCCTAGCAATAGTACTCACCCTAGCAACAGTACTCACCCTAGCAACAGTACTCACCCTAGCAACAGTACTCACCCTAGCAACAGTACTCACCCTAGCAACAGTACTCACCCTAGCAACAGTACTCACCCTAGCAACAGTACTCACCCTAGCAACAGTACTCACCCTAGCAACAGTACCGTCTTCAGAAGTCCTGGTCCAGTACAGCTCAGGAGTAGGAACAGCGGACTCTGACACTGAACAAGTCAGTCTCAGAGTCTCTCCTACTGAGTAAAATAGTTGACTTCCCGCGTTGACTTGAAGACTGGGCCTCGCCGTCCTCGGGCAGAAACCTGAGGGGTGGCAGAGAGTTACCATAGTTACACTACTAGTTACCATAGTACACTGAACTGAACATGCGTGCAAACAGAGTTTTAAATACTGTACAGACATGGGTTAAAAACAACGGTCTTAAACTTAATGTAGGAAAAACTAAATACATGATATTCACTAACAGATTACCAGAGGATATAAATATTAGTATAGAAGGACAGCGACTAGTGAAAAGTGAACATGAACGATTTTTAGGTGTCATTATTGACTCAAAACTTAGCTGGAGCCAGCACATTAAACAGTTAAAGACTAAAATATCCAGAAATGCAGGCGTAATGATGAAACTTAAAAGTTCCATTCCGAATAAAGCTCAAAAAATGCTATACAATAGTTTAATTCAATCTCACCTGTATTACTGCGCTACTGTTTGGGGTACTACTACTAAATCTTTAAATTCCATTCAGTCTTTATTCTCTGCTCAAAAGAAAGCTATTCGCGCCACTGATTCAGAATATCATAACTATTTTTACGACAAAGAAAAACGTAAACTACCATCTCACACAAAATCCATCTTCAACAAAATAGGAATTTTAGCTCTTCCTAATCTCATTGCTAAAAGCTGTCTAACTTTGATGCACAAGGTTTATATGGGAGTAGCACCATCGAGTATCTGTAGTATATTTGAAAAATCGCCGCTTAGACAAACGGAAAGGAGAAATCCAAAGTATTTTGAAATTAAGTTCAACAGATTACGGATCACCGATTATAGCATCTCTAACGTAGGACCACGATTATATAACAACACGATAAACGAAATAAATAAAATCCTTCCCTTCAACTTACCTAAGTTACAAGATAAGTTTATTAATTCATACAAGGACAACATTGTACGTTACTTACAGGACAAACAAAAACTTGACCTAGAAAACCTTTCGTGGACGGACAAGAACTTTGTCCTTTACAACTTTTAAACAAAATATTAGCAAAATATAACAGCTGTAAAAATCCTAAACGTTAGTGCAGTCAAATAAATGAACTGCGATAATGCATTTGACAGTCAGTCACTGCAATTTATTCTGCAACTTATTTTTCAATTTTCACTGCCACACTTAGGCTTATCTTGCCTACACATTTTTTAAAACGAAATTCCTTGCGCACCGCGTACTAAAATTACTTGGATTTCTACCGCTTTGATAAATGACTACAAGAAGATGGGGAGTTAATATTGTTGATTTATATAATATAGATTATTTATTCTTTAGTGTAGATTAACTTTATTTTTATATATTTAACCAAGTGTGAAGGATCAACCATACGTTATTGATATTTTTGAAATATTTAACGATAAATTAATATAATAATAAATGATTGTAATATTTTTATTGAGGCACATGCCACCCCATCGCGGGTTTACTACTTACTACTACTATAGTTACACTACTAGTTACCACAGGTACACTACTAGTTACCATAGTTACACTACTAAGCAGAGGCTGGGAGAACATGATGTGGGTTCGGATCTGACACATTAATTCTGTTTCAGGAGGAAATTACACTGTAGCACCTACCACACCCCTACATATATGTAAAAACTGACACTGTTAAAATTAACAAGTGTATGTCCACCGTTAATACTTTAATATTAATTGAGATATTCCCGAATGGAAGAATATCTGGAAACAATCTGTCACCCAGAGGAGGGGGGGCACATAGATACGTTTCGTCACTGACGTCACCAGCCCACCAGTTGCCAAGTGTTGTCTTGACTCACCATCATAAGAAACCACAGTGACATTAGTTCCCTCCCTGCAGTTTTCTTGTGTCACGTGACAGGGATTGTAGAAGCTCCTACAATCTGATCCGCACACCGGACTGTATTCAGTATTTTGGCACTCCGGACACACGCACTCCGTCGTACCTGCAATATCTAGTCAGTCTCACACCGGACTGAAATCCGGTGCTGTCTTTTTAGCGGTGATTTAAACGGTCTGATTGTAGTCCTAAACAAAATTAGTCAGTATAAAACAAACTGATCAAGAAAACAAAATAAAATAATATCGTTTTCTGAAAACAATAACCCACATAAACGTATTTAAAACGTGCAGATTGAAGTTGCTCGTTCCCTCAATAATACGAACAGAACATTACCAGTAACATAGTCAGCTTGACAAGTCTGACCAGCTCCACAGTTCACATCTTTACACAGATCCAGGACTCTGAGGTAAGCGTCCTGGAAGTCATCACCCCACGCGTTAGAAGCAAGACACCTGTACCATCCTGTAAATTATAATGTGTTCAATAATCACGCGTTAGAAGCAAGACACCTGTACCATCCTGTAAAATATAATGTGTCAATAATCACGTGTCAATCTACAAATTTGTTTAGTCAATTGGACATATTAACCATTAGAGCTGAAGTAGTTCTGATACGTTGGAATAGAATCTGTAAGACTGGCCTCTAGCTCGCCATTTTTTAGATTCAAGCAAATCGAGGATGTTCAAAGGGTGCAGAATGTTCAGCTCGACAAAATACCAGTGGTAATTATTCCGTAGGCTGTAAAATGACTCCTCCATGTCCATATCCTTAAATAATTGGACATAACCACGTGGTAAACTGCACGACAACAAAATATTAGCCTTTGAATCACTAGCTGTGAATGATGAAGATGCTAGCTGTGAATGATGAAGATGCTAGCTGTGAATGATGAAGATGCTAGCTGTGAATGATGAAGATGCTAGCTGTGAATGATGAAGATGCTGTTTGAATTTCAACCCTCAAATTTATAACACTCCCTGCAAGCTTATCACTTTCGTAGCACGTGTTGTGCACGTGGTAGTGCCACTTCAATATAAACAATTATCATCATTCGTACCTTCGTTTTGTTGGTTGACCTCTTCAAACTCTTGTATTACTGATACCACAGTAACTCTCTCTCCTCCGATCATCTCTGGAACCGCTCTGTTCACTCCGTCTGATCGCAGTGTTATTGTAGTCAGGGGGGCCGGGGCTCCTTGTGACTTACAGCTGAAACAGTGTTATTGTAGTCAGGGGGGCCGGGGCTCCTTGTGACTTACAGCTGAAACAGTGTTATTGTAGTCAGGGGGCCGGGGCTCCTTGTGACTTACAACTGAAACAGTGTTATTGTAGTCAGGGGGGCCGGGGCTCCTTGTGACTTACAGCTGAAACAGTGTTATTGTAGTCAGGGGGGCCGGGGCTCCTTGTGACTTACAGCTGAAACAGTGTTATTGTAGTCAGGGGGGCCGGGGCTCCTTGTGACTTACAGCTGAAACAGTGTTATTGTAGTCAGGGGGGCCGGGGCTCCTTGTGACTTACAGCTGAAACAGTTTTATTGTAGTCAGGGGGGCTGGAGCTCCTTGTGACTTACAGCTGAAACAGTGTTATTGTAGTCAGGGGGGCCGGGGCTCCTTGTGACTTACAACTGAAACAGTGTTATTGTAGTCAGGGGGGCCGGGGCTCCTTGTGACTTACAGCTGAAACAGTTTTATTGTAGTCAGGGGGGCTGGAGCTCCTTGTGACTTACAGCTGAAACAGTGTTATTGTAGTCAGGGGGGCCGGGGCTCCTTGTGACTTACAGCTGAAACAGTGTTATTGTAGTCAGGGGGGCCGGGGCTCCTTGTGACTTACAGCTGAAACAGTGTTATTGTAGTCAGGGGGGCCGGGGCTCCTTGTGACTTACAGCTGAAACAGTGTTATTGTAGTCAGGGGGGCCGGGGCTCCTTGTGACTTACAGCTGAAACAGTGTTATTGTAGTCAGGGGGGCCGGGGCTCCTTGTGACTTACAGCTGAAACAGTTTTATTGTAGTCAGGGGGGCTGGAGCTCCTTGTGACTTACAGCTGAAACAGTGTTATTGTAGTCAGGGGGCCGGGGCTCCTTGTGACTTACAACTGAAACACTGTTAATGTAGTCAATAACAGTGTTTCAACTGTAAGTCAACAGTAATATCAACCGTACCTGAACATTGCAGTTGAGCCAGGAGGAACTGTAATATTAAACGTACCTGAACATTGCAGTTGAGCCAGGAGGAACTGTAATATTAAACGTACCTGAACATTGCAGTTGAGCCAGGAGGAACCGTAATATTAACCGGGGGATCAGTTATAATGGCAGCTACCCTCAGTCCAGGGATTATATCCACGTCTCTGTTACCATCGTTTATCACTACCTGAACAAATGGAGATTATAATACATGCAGCTTATTCCTATCATCCCTGGACTGTGTAACAAAAGTGCAAGTTTCGAAAAGTTTGGAGACACTTAACAATGCACTAAACGGGTTAAGGAATAAAACAAGCAGTTTGTAGTACGTGATTTGTGCTTCACCTCGTTGCTGAAGGTATCTGTATTCCGGCCGGTATTCCGGCCGACGTCCAGCGCTTTAGTGAACGCACTGTATTCGTATTTAGGACTAGCTGTCGTCTGGCTGCTCTTATCTGTTATTATTAGGTTATATCGTTCAGTTTAGAAATGTTCAGGAGACTTTAATCCGTTTAGTATCGGAGCTTGGGAAGCAGTACGTCATTGATAAATACTAATTATCACCAAATAATGAGTTAGTCTGACATGCATCAAATATTTCAAGTGGAAATTTCCCACTCAAACAATGTAAGTTATATCCTCAAAACTAGTAATGTTTCATGTTAGCCCAACTTACCCTTATTAAAGAACTCAGTAGATGTCAGAGGGAGGGTCTGAGTAGAAAAGGAGACGGTTCTAGCTGCTCCAAAGTTAATGTCCTCAGTAGCGGAGGGAGTAGGGATGTTCAGGCTCTTCAGAAGCTGGCACACTGTGAGCAGGTCGTCTGTGTACCTGTACAGTATAACTCTGATTTACTGCTATTATCTTCCTCCAAATGAAGTCTTTACTATTTTATACATTATGTGAACGATTTACCGCGGCTGTTTACTTTCCCCAAACTCCGCGGTTAACCGGGGTTTGACTGTGAGTTGATTTTCTTCCAACGTTAGTGACTATACAGTTAACAGGTCTCATAGTCCCGTGTCAAATTATTAATAGATCAGCCTAGCTTGAAATCTCAACAGTATAATTCACGAAATAGCCCTGTTATTCTGTTGTTATACATTTGCTGTTAGAGTCTGCTGCTTCAGCTTACCTAGAACAGATGGCTTGATGTTTACATTGAGTAAAAAGACTAGCTGTTGAACACTTCACCCTGTTCTCTTCAACCTTATCACGTGTTTGACAGGTTGTCAATCTCCAGCTTGAAAACAACACAACACAACACAAAGCAAGCATGTTTACCTAAAAGTGTAATTTATTTGCCCTCTGTGCTAACTTTCCTCTAAAGACTCTCTCTCTCCTAGTTGGCCCTCCACGCCCCAAACAAGCTCCTATTGGCTCTCCTCCCTCAAGCCAGGCCCTTATTGGTGGAGAGAGCATGTCTGAGCGGTAACCCAGTTATCTAATTAACGTTTTAAGGAACATGCGTCACAGTCAAATGGGTGATCGGTTAATTGAACGGATGTGAACTGAGCTGGGACCATGCTGATCTATCAAGGTGTTGATAGTTGATGTGTTGATATGTTGATAGTTAAAGCTACAACCGTGTTATTGTTATTGTGTTTTTAGTATTGTAGTGATCCTGTGATATAACCATTCTAATCGAATTTGGTTTAGACAACTGACAAGTGCTGGTGAAGTTTTTATTTGTACGCTTTGTTAAAGTCTAGTAGTACCAAAGTTTTTAACTTAATATAAACTTGTCAAATTTCAAAATTCCTGCCAAGCGTCTGTACTATAGAAACCGAAAAGGTATCCGGCTGAATTCAGACCAGAGCTCGGAATTTCAAAACTTTTCAGAACATTTTTCTATCCATTCATAACTTTGAGTAACATGCCGGGTATTACTATTTATGTTACAGTTAAGGTGTCGGGGCCGAATGAGATATTTCTGCAGGATTTGATGTCTGATAATCATGAATCAGGCTAAATCATGTCATTGGGATTAAGGTTTATGCAAAAACCGTTTTGTTCAGCTGCAAAACCATAATTAACGGGCGATACTAGTAAAATATTTGTTCCAAATATATAGGACCGTCGACGAGTCCAACTCGGCACACGTCCTGGTAGGTTATAAACCTACAAAACCATAAAAACCAAAGTCACGTGATAATTTTAAGGCAAGCGAAAGTAAGAGTAAAAGACTAAAAGCCAATTAAATTGGATATGCTCAATATGCATTTGCTTCAAGAATTTTGTGCTGGCCGAAATTAGCGTTAAAAAACCATATTCAATACTAGTACTACTAGTACTATACACTATACTAATCAGTATGCGCGGCCTACCACAAGTACATGATTTTATTAAGGGGTCGTTCACATATTACGTAATCAGCTGAGGGGGGGGGGGTTTCCGAATGATTACGCTAGTGTAATTTTGACACAATAGTTATGTGTAAAACTGATAACGGAGGGGGGGTTAAAATGTTCCAAAAAATGATTACGTAATATGTGAACGACCCCTAATATAACCCTAACAGTAAACGAAACTCACTGATCATTCCAAAAAGGTATATAATTATAACAAATTTGGTACTGTGAAAATTCTCACAGTCTCTAGACAACAATGGTACAACAATTTTGAAATCCGAGCAAGTTTATTTTTATCGTGCACCCGGCCCCTAATGCTAGCAAAAAAAATTCGGCTTTTTCATGGTACCTAGACGAAATAAATATTTACTATCTAGGTGCCATATTTAATGGTGCGCGGCTTTTGGAGCAAGAGTAGGTGTAAAAGTCGCGTAATTTTACGAGATTCGTTGATTTTTGTCGTATTATTCTGTCATATCTTTGGTTCCTTCAATGAGGTCAAAATTATTGTGACGACCTTCCAATATAAGGGCTTTCACAACTTCCGAAAAATTTGGTGGATATCGACAATCGAAGTTGATATAGCTAGCATGTAGCTATAGTAATTTGAAAATGGGGCAAAATACGCTGCTTTTAGCTGTAACATAACGTTTGATGCAGATGGTTGGATATGCTCTAAATTTTTGGGACATGTAATTCTATAATAAGTAAGTCTATAAGTAAGCCTACTAATTTTTGTTAAAATTGGATCAAGGGAAGGTTACTTATATTAATGGGTATTAATACGCATTTGTTTCAAGAATTTTGAGCTGACCGGAATTACTGAATTAGCGCTAAAAAACCATTCTACAGTCGGCATGCGCGGCTCACTGTCGATGCAGCGCACTATCTACTAGCATGTGACCAAAATAGTTTTTTGCCCATAATTGATAATGCAACGAGCGACGATGCGAAACAAGAATGCTAGTTTGCGCGGCGCTTCGAAGCGGCGAAGTCCTCCAAATAATGCATAACTCTCTGCGGAAGCATTTTTACCCTACGTCGTGTTACTGCGCGGCGCTCAGCCTGTTATTCCGCCAAATCTATATTTGGTTATATATATGATTATGAACATGAGGTCCTCAGGTAAAACAATGTCATGTGCATAGTATGTAGCATGTAAGGAAAATAATTTGTATTAAAAAATCGTACCTTGTAGCGCTATGCGTTACTGTGCCGCGCCGCGCACTCAATGAGGCGTCTCGCTAGATTCGGTTTCACTAATTCACTCGCCATGGATTATAGGAAAAGGGCGCGTGTTTGTATTTCGCATTGGATATAAAGATGACCAATGATATTGCAGTGTTTAAGTCACGTGCGCGTGATATAGCGCGCTTGCGTGTGCTACCTTGAGCTGAGATCAGATACAAACTTTTGTTCCTGACTCTCTCTCACTCGCTCTCTGCATTATACCTTTACTTCTGATAAACCTATCGCTTGCAGTTTGTTGAATATCTCTGTCATCTGTCATATGCCTTAAAGTGATACCCTTCTCGTACGCTTTTGTTGTTGTTATGGTTTCAATGTCATGAGAGCTACATACATCCAAGAAAAATGGTCTTGTCTATAACTTGTGCCTAAACAATGAATGTGCCTAAACAATGAATTCAAGCTCATACATATTCGAGGTGCAGCAGCGCCAAACCACCCACTAAACCTGTTCCAACAGGAAAGAAAAGTCCCTCCTGCACAAGACAATCATAAACGCAGCAGGAAGAATACATCAACTTTAAAGCCGCCTCAAGATAAAAATGCCTTGAAATATTTTAGCAACAAGGATCTTCTCCAGCATTTGGACCAGTTGAAAGTGGATTGGACGTAAGAGATTTCGTGCATGATTCAAAAATCACTCGAATCAATGATGGCCTCTTATCTACCCTCGCAAACAAGCCCGAACCCCCAGATATATCTTCGTCCGGGTGTTCAGTACTCAACTGCAGCTCAGCAACCCTACCAACAAGCCCCTCATCACCCCAGGGCTACCCTGCACACTGCAGTGCACAGCACCTGCAACAGCCTGCTCTCTACAAACCGCTACTGGGAAAGTAGACCTCAAGTCAATACTTCCGATCTCCTCAACATTTCTTCTTAACATACAAGGAATGAATCCTGGGATAAAGAACCAGCAATGGAAGTTAAAATCTCTCCACGAGAATTTAGCAACCAGCCCGCTCCACACTCCCTTCTTTATTCTGACTGAGACTCATCTGAAGCCATACCATGTTGAAGCGGAGACGTGTATCCCTGGCAACAGTACCATCAGAGCTGATCAAGACAAACGTGCTCAAGGCGGTGTAGCTATCTACCTACACCACTCTTTACCTGCTGACACAATAAAAGTGTACTCTAACTCCTATTGTGAAGTTGCAATGGTTCACATCGCTAGCAGTAACTTTCTCCTTGTTGGCGTGTACCGCCCTCCACAGGCACCAGTCGACAAGTTTGATGACTGTTTGTGTGTGATTCAAGACTTTATAGACCACCTCCCTGGCTCTCCTGAACTCTACATTGCAGGCGACTTTAATTTGCCGTTTGTAGACTGGTCCAGTAAGTCTATCAAACCAAACTCCAGCAAATCGGCTTCCGAAACGAACTCGGGACTAGCCTTTATGGAGTTCATATCCTCTAACTTCCTAGAGCAGCTAGTCGACGAACCCACTAGGAAGGACCAAAACATCCTTGACGTGATCCTCTCCAACAATATCGATTTAATCCACGGTTTATCAGTGTCAAAGACGGAGAAATCAGACCACGTCATAGTGACACGCACCTCCCTCCCTCCCTCCCTCCCTCCCTCCCTCCCTCCCTCCCTCCCTCCCTCCCTCCCTCCCTCACGCAACCTTACTTTAATGGTATTTGGAGATATATCTCTAGGATAATCTTGGTTTAAGCTTTTCGATGTGTAAAACATAGATTCGGATGTAGGAACCAAGGCTCCTATTTGTTCTTTTAGAGCTCCACATTTGGAAATTATAAATTTGAGTGTATCAGTGTAGTTGTTTGGCGTCAGCTAGACTGGCATAAGTGGTCCACACCCGACTAACAGCCAGCCCTCTGATTGGTCAGCGTGACTGCTATTCGATAGCTTATTGGCCAGATTGCGTGTCACGTGGTACCCTAGAAACGTGTGTTCAAGTTAATTTGCAGTAGAAATTCAACTGGGATGTTCGGTTTATCATTCTTTGTTACTCCCTGTTGGCATTCTTTAGCGCTAAATGACATCAAGACCTAAAAACCTTAGGTTCTTAACTCGACTCAGGATTGTTGTATCATGTTATTGCTTAATTGATTTTCTGATCAATTACCTGGCTTTTCAACTGGTTGCCGGGGTAATTTCATTGGATCCTCCTGCCCGGACAGTAATAATGTCATGTTGCAGGTTTGTTACAATTAATGATAAAGTCAATTTTGTTTTGAGCCTACCGTGATCTTCATTACATCTGCTACATTGATACCCAGTGTTATAACAGGTAGTAGATAAGCTTACTGATTGTTCTACTATAGTAACTTACTTACTACTTGATTAGGTCTCCTCAATCATTCGAGTGGCCTGCACCAATGAACTCCCGTTTGTGACGTATCATCTCCCTCCAAAGTTTGCGGTCACTACTCACTAGCCATCTCGCTCGCTCCTTCTAGGTCTATGTCAGTGTTTCCTGTAAACGCTGCAGCATCTTCCAGCAAACATTTCCTCCAGTTCTTTCTTGGACGGCCCCTAGATCTTCTCCCATGGACAGGGGTCCAGTTAAGCAGGTACTTAGGAAGCCTAGTGTCTGGCATTCTGGTGACATGGCCAAACCAACGCAGGCGGTTTGCTCCTATGTACGTCTCTACTGGATTTATCTTTGCACGCTCCAGCACTTCAGTGTTTCTAACCCGATCGAGCCATCTTATCCTAAGTATTCTCCTCAAGCAACGCTGATGG